CACTATCGCGACTATCGCGCAGTCTGTAATGATATGACGTTAATAAACTTTAGCGATTTTTTGCAAACATTATGAACTCAATGAACTCACGATTGAAAGTAACATAAATATGTCTTTTTGTTCGCTCGGGCAGCCATGTTGCCGCTGAAGCCGGTTTACGTTGAAATAATTCATACCCCTTTGTTTGAAGTGTGGTCCCGAAAAATCTTCGTTTGAAGGGCTATCTGGCCCTTCCCCTACCCCTACCCCTCCAACCAAAAGAGAATTGAGACAGGGGAAGGGCTAAGGGGTAGAATTGGGATTGGGCCTTTCTCTTTCAGTGCTATCAGGCTAAAGTTAGCTTTTTCTGAGCCCGGAAGACACCAAGCCGACGCTGATGAACTAGTGGCGACGAAAGCAGCCTGCGGGGTCGGCAGCGTCTGGGTCCAAAGTTGCCCTGACACACCAAGCCGACGCTCGACACCCGATGGCCAAGTAGCACATCCGTTCTGCGTCTGCGTAAGAAGTTTTTTTTTTTTTCTCGTGCACTCGTTTGCCAGCTGAACAGTCAATCAGAATGATCAGATGGCCCGACTGACCGACGAGTTCCGACGCCGATTCGACATGTCGAATCGGCCGGAAAAAAAGCAGACAAGGACCAACTTCAGCCAACGGTGCAGAACACACTGAGAAAACTTAATCGGCCAATGAACAAAAACTGTCCGACAGCCGACCATCGGCTTGGTGTGTTCCGGGCTTTAAAAGTAAGGACGGGGTTGACCTCGTTGCTATGGATGATGTCAGCATGCTTACTAACTATGCACACAGTGATTGGCTGAGAGGGGAGGGCTCTCTGTCAGAGATTTATTCATAGAATTATTGTAGAGCGCGATATTATGTTGCCCTATTCAAATAAAGGTTTAAAAATAAAAATTTTACCATATTCAAATGTTCATATACAGTGTGTTCAGCTAATTGTCAGCTTCTTACATGTGCGCTTCTCATAAACAATTAGCGGATATGCATATAAACAGCCTTTTAATTAACAGAGTAGAATAATCATGGCTGATAGTAAGATATGCAAACGTAAAAGAAAACTAAACTGGACGCAAGAACAGCTGTTACTTCTTCCCCAACTGGTTAATGAAAACAAGGATATAATCAAAGGAAAATTTCGAGTTGGGATTACCTCCAAAACCAAAGGCGGTACATTTTTCAAAGCTCGTATGTTTCTAAAATGTTTACATTCCTATGCAGATTTCTGGCAACAGCCATTTTAGGATTGTTGTGATTTGGTCTTAGTGACGTAGGAGTCCTCTTCACTACTAGTTTTAGTGCTAAAACACTTTGTGAGAAATACTCTTAGAGCAAAAATGAAGGAGTCCTAAATTTAGGACTGGCACACCCATTATTTTTAAGATTTTCTCCTAAATCAGCAAGTTATGAGCTACTTTTAGCCTTAAGATGTTTTGTGAATACAGGCCCTGGTGTTCAACAATAGGTAACTATGGAAACAAACGAGAACATACTAGAAACTGACTTTCTTTCTTCTGTGGAACATAACAGAAGATATAGGCAACAAAATACAAGAACTATGAACTCAGAAACAGTAGGACCAAATGAGTCCTAGAACAGAAACCAAACATGACACAAGCAATCAGAATTAGGTAGGTGGTACATGTCAAAGTAACATTCAAAAAATTGCCAGGACACAAGGTTTCCCAGCAGAACATTGCCAAGAGCATAACGCTGCTGCCATCTCTTCTCCAGGTAAATGATGCACCCACCTGGCCATTCACAACTTAGAGGCACTGTGTGTTCTGACACCTTTCTATCATGGCAGTAGCTCTTTTTGTGATGGGACCAGACAGGCTAGTCTTCACTCCCCACATGCATCAGTGAGCCTTGGTCACCCATGACCGTAACTGGTTGTAACTGACTGGTTTACATTGTTCTTCCTTGCAGCACTTTTGGTAAGTACTAACCACTGCATACCAGGATGTCCCACAAGACTTGGTGTTTTTGAGATGCTCTGACTTTTCTCTTTCTTTTTTTAAATTATAATGATGGGTTTTTTATGCCTTTATTGGGACAGGAGGACAGTGGAAAGCTGACAGGAAAGCATTGGGTGGAGAGAGGGGGTGGGAATCGGCAAAGGACCTCAAGACAGGAATTGAACTCAGATCGCCACAAGTACAGTCAGGTGTTAACCCACAGTAACAAATTTTAACAGATTAATCGCATATTGTCGTTTGCTGCATGCTTTTAAAAACACAATAACATTTTTTTAAATTAATTTTTTTGAGGAAAATAAAAAAAAAGATGCGTCTCGTATAAGTTGCATTTTCAGAAATAATAACGGCAGGCCTAATAATATTGTAATGTACCAACATTATGAACACTATAGGATAATTTAGTTCCCCTCACTTTACAACAAATATAAACCTTTTCTAATGCTGCATGAATTGAATGTCTAAAATATTATTCTTAAATTAAATATCTGCTGTCTGAAACCTCTGAAATATAGCAGAAAAATATTCCTGATATACTGTAAAAATTCTGAAAAATATTATGAAAACAAAGACAGCTTTATGTGATAGTATTTATTGATTCTTCATGGTCAAAGAATAATGTCAGTATGAAGATGTATTCAAATACATAAAATGATTTTTTTTAATGCAATTTCATTATGAAGGTCATATTTGGTGATTGCAAACATATTTAATACAAAGTAACTTATAGCCTACGAATTCCAATGACAGCAACCATGATGCACCTCAAAAACACACTAGGGAACAGAGCGATACAGGGTATTGATCATTCTCTTCACTCCATAATGTTACCGTTTCTTCTTATATTAACTAACGTACTCTACGATTAGCTCAGTGAATAATTAAAAAAAAACATAGACCTGGCTAGAACAAGCGGAGTAATACAAAATTGTGAAATGCGGTTCCTTTTGCGATACCAGTACAATATATCACGGTTCTCAACCAATCAGATTTGAGAACCAGAACGAACTGTTGTATAAAGTGTGTTAATGCATACAACGGTATATTTTCGTACCAAATTCAATCAAAATGAAACAAAAATACAACTTCATTACTAAATTACAATTCTTCCACAGTTGTAGTGCTTAAAAATGTTTTAAAAACCCAAGCCAATGCAGTATTTTTTCATAAGGGTTTTCTTCTGTACATACCTCTGCTATTGATTATAGCACAAATAAATCTGAGATTCAAATTATTCTGTTGACAGAAGAAGAGTCTGTTTAGACCATAAGGTCATCTCAGATGAATGTGATACTTCATGGCAGCCCTTTTGATTTTTATGCAAAGCTACAAAAGAAATGGCCTTTTTTGTGATTTCTATATTCGCCGTATCCTCATGTGGAAAAATGAGGATATGCCACAAAGGCTGTTTTTTGCGAAATTGTCCCTCCAACGTCAATGAGGTTCCGATTCTTGGACCACACCTTGAGTCTGTCCCCAGATTTGAGAGAAAAAATACCCTCAGAGAACAGACTTTTCCTCCAGTATTTGAGGTTGACTGTTTCCCAGTGGGTGAGAAGGGGCAGGGGTCTATCATATTCATCAGTATAATGACGAATATCATGTTGCAGAAATATTTCCTCTGTGTTTTCACTGAATTTTCTGTACGTAATCTGAAGAGAAACCTTGTATGTTCCGCCATGAAGGACTTTCAGAGATTCATTATCATCATCCAGGATGAAGTATCTGGTATGATTTGGTGTCGGATACTCTGGTGTATACATCCACGGCACATATCCTTCTTCTTTAGTGAACCTAACATTGTCTTTAACTAGAGAGAAGGGAAATGTGTGAATACACTTGGCCAAAAAATGTTTTACATTCATAAGTATCTCTGAGAATGAAAATTGCACTGCACTTTTTTTCCCCTAAGAGTATAGACATAAGTTGTCTGATTAAGAGTATAACTCTTGCTTACAGTTCATCTTATCTTAATGGTAATTATGTTTTGTATTCACTTCTACTTGTGCGTTACGTCTTATTGCAGTCAGTGTATATACTTCGTACCTGTCAAGCGAGTGAAAGATGTGTTTCTTTCTGTCGGGATTGTATCTTCTCTGCTATGCGATTCAGCACCTTGATACTGCATTCCTATATGGATGAAAAATGCAAGATTTGTATTACTGTGAATTTACATAACAACCACAATGTGGAAGACACTAAATTTAGTATTTACAATAGAATTCAGCTTTATTAGTAAATAATGAACTAACTTACCAAATGTAAGTGCCTCCTTGGTTCCATTTTCCTACAAAAAGTTAGCAATTGTAAATAGTTTAATACACACACAATGAATCCTTAATTGATCAAGGTATTGATTCTATAACTGTGCGTTTCAGTTGTTTCAGAACTTTTTTTTTGTAATTCACTGTTTTTTTTTTTTTTTTGATAGAGCACACAAAAAACACATTACAACAATGGAGATAAAACATATTAGATAAACCACTACCCACCCCATCACACCCCAGGACCCAGACAAACACTAAAGTAAAACAATATTAAATCAAATAAATAAAAATATATAAAAACATAATGGGTAATAATATTAACAACAGAATGACATCATTAGATCAAATGACCAAAATCTTCGAGACTATGGAAATCCAGTTCTTCCAAATAGATAGAGTAGCAGGTTTTGCGTGATTAGTCCGAGCAAGAAGACAGTTCCAGATATAGTATTTCCAATAAGGAATGAATCCAGTGCTTAGCAGAAAGGTCTTGTTTCCGAACTTTTAAGTAATCAAATAGTGAGCAGCATATTTTTCCATTATACTAGTAACTAGTAAAGGTGCGTAAAAGGTTCTTCACAGCGATGCAAATAAAAGAACAATTTTTGGTTCTACAAAGAACCATTCAGTCAAAGGTTCTTTAAAGAACTATCTCTTTCTTACCTTTTTATAATCTGAAGATTCTTCAGATGTTAAAGGTTCTTTATGGAACAGTTTAGACAATATGGTTCTTCTATGGCATCGTGAAGCACCTTTATTTTTAAGAGTGTATGTATTACATATTTACTAAATACTAGCACTTATTCCTTTTTTATTAGTCATTATCCTATAAGTCATTATCATATGGCATTACTACCGGTAACACTTTAAAAAAAACGTGCCATTGAATTCTCTGTGCATCAGCTATTCACTTTTGACCAGTTTGCAATTCAGTCACTCCTGGCTACTTGTCCTAGTTTTAGTAACTTATTTCATACTACTAGTGACAATAGTTATTAGTATCTACTTCAAGCTCAACTATTACCTATATGAATTATAATCCAATTAACACTAACTACATTCTTAATCGTAGTATCAATAAATAAATAAATCTGTAAAAATCAAGTAGTGTCTCATAACTAAGGTATAAATAAATCTAATCTAATAAATAGTCACTAATGGAAAACTTAAGACAAGAAAAAACGTTATGGAAATAAAGACTATGTCATTTGACACACTTTTTATATTTTATGCAATCTATGTTAAAACGGTTATAACATAGGCTACTGTACTGCAGTGTTGCCATGTACGAATATTACATATAAATGAACTCCGTTGCAAAGGTTTCTAAAGCACTTTCAAAGGGTCACTGAGCAGTAACGTGACTAGTATGCGTCTTTTACCTTGCAGGTCGGCGGGAACGCGTGATACAGGAGCGTGAACAGGCAGCAGCTGAAGCAGAAGAGCACGCTGATGGACTGGATGAGGCACACCTGTCGCCGCAGTGAGCGGTACTTTGTCCTCAGACGGCTCACGGGCTCGGGTTTTGTCCTCAGACGGCTCACGGGCTCGGGCTCGGGCTCTGGCTCCATTAAAACTGCGTGGACTTGACAGGCTGCCTTTTCGTTTGTCATCTCCATAACGGACAGTTTAAAAGCGCAGCTCCATACCCTCGGACTCCTCTATATATAGGCTATGTATATTTCTCCCACGTGTTTTCTTCAACGCCCAAAACAAACAGCCTACTCGTGGAGTTTCGATACTCTGAACACATGAGGCTCTCAGTCCAGTCGATCCAGTGTCGCTTCCTGCTTTGCTCATGCAAGACCTGCTTGACTCCGAGCCAAATTCTTACAGCCTGAGGAAATAAACAAGTACATGACGCTTCGCCATAGCTAGTAGTGTGTTCGAAGCTGTAAAGCAGTGCTTCTCCACCTTTACAGAGCCTGCACACCTCTATCCATCCAGGTCCCTTAAGCGCCCTCGATTCTGAATATTACTGTTGATTATTATTCTGGTTTTATAATAATAATATAAAATGAATTGCTGGTAAAAAGCAGTGTGAGCAAATATGCAATAACATTTTTCTTCTTGCTGTTGTTATCCTTGCTTAACATATGCTTTATACTGATTATAAACACAATTCATGTTTCATAAAAATATTGCATTACTTACTGGGGCTAATTGTCACACACTTTACTTATCTGGATAGTAATGGGGGCTATTGCCCAGGAGAAAAAAGAGACACATCTCTGACCTTTTGTGACAAAATGTGTTAATGTACACCATATATGGGGTAAGTTGTCACAGGGGAAATGGAGATGTTAAGATGAACAAATAAAATGCACTGTTGTTGTAGCCAACAAATATTGGAACTAGGGGAAAAAAGCATCAGGACGAACTTTGTGGTGGCCAGGAGAAAGCCAGAGGACTGAAAGTTTTAAGATTGAAGTTAGAAAGTTTGAGCATTTTCTGAACAGTTTCTAGGAGTACTCTAAGGTCAGAAATAAAATGAGATGTCAGTTTACTGTTTTATCTTTATCAGTAAGATGCTTTTCCTTTGTTCACTTCATTTCACCTTGGATTTGTTTTTAAACAGGACACACCTTGGCGATGATACAGTACCATTACTGGATCAGACAGCAATGTCGCAACACACAAGTGTGAGTAACAGTGTTTTATCATGTGTCACTATTGTTTTCTCTGTTACAAATCATTTGATATGTACTGAGTATGTATACGTTTTTAACATCACAACAGCGTCCATCTTTTATTTGAATATGCAAAACTGTTAGCCAGTCATAGCAATAGGCATTTGCTTCCAAGTCTTGAATGCAGCACACCTATAAAAATCAAAAGAACGTTTCAAAGAAAGGGGCAAAACAGGATAGAAAACAGCACCACTCAGAATATTAAATAGCTACAATACTTTCTCAAGCCAACATAATTAAAAAAATAGAACATTTTAAGACACAACTTGATATTTATGAACAATACGCTTGTCCACAGAACACATTATGTAGTTGACTCTTGCCTGAATGTAACCCTGTGTTGTTTAAAATGTAAGTTATCAAAAAAATATTTACCATAACATATTTATGAAACACTACCATAGCCACAGAAGTCACATTAAGTTCCAAATAAAATCAGACCAGAAACACTGCTAGATGCATAAATAATCGGATATTACATTAAAACTTCAAATGAAAACCTCTAACCCTTTTTGATTATTTTGCAGCAGCACATAAAGCTTTTCTACTCTGGAGGAGTATAAAAAGATGTGTACAGGAATGGCACAAGGCCAGGAATGACACACATTGCTATGCATGTGGGTTTTTAGGTATGTAGAACAGTCAAACAACTGCTGCGAAGAGAAAGTTCTGGCAAAACGTGTTGATTACATTATTGCAAACGGCTTGTTTGCATAAAGCTCCAAAACTGTGTTGTCAAGTTGCCTTATTGTTTGTCAAGGGAAAAAAGACGTAGAAATGTGAAGAATTTTTTTGAGTAATGGCATTTTCCCCTCCTTTCATTGGAAGGGTTTTGTGAACTTAGGGAAATCACATTCTCACATCTGTCCAAGTCTGCATTAAACCTTTCATTTATGAGGCGAAGCCTGGATGTTATTTTGCTTTCCTGTAACACATTTGATCTGGTTTCTTACTGGATATCTTTTTGTTAAACATTTAAGACCTCATTTGTTTGTTATCAATTAGGTTGTGGGTCCTCTCGTTGGAAGCAAAATATAAAAATACTTTGTTTTTGTCTAATTTTCCTTTTTCCGCATTTATTCATTAAACATCTCCTGGTTTACTGTCTTTCACTTTGACTGTTTGGGCACGTGGCTGTCGTCACAGTGCTTGGCACAATCAGGATATTATCTCGGCCCAGACTTTCCATTTAGGTAATGGAAGCTTAGACCAATCTTGCAAAAAAAGGAATGCTGCTTTTCAGCTCTACTTCCATCCTTTTTGTAGTTCAAAGTGTTTACCATCATTTTTAGACAAAAAATATTCAAACGTGAGTACATGAGGTAGGCCATTCATAGCATTCTTGTTGCTATCCGAGTCAGGTCTGAAGTTAATTGATAGTTTCTACGACATACTGATATACACAGATCAGTCACACTCAACTTCACACCTAATTTGTTATAAAGTTTTCCAGCTATTCATTGCAGCTCTTATCATGGCGATACCTTTAAGTTTTAAATTACCCCTTTATTAGATTCAACAGGGTTAGTGCAGTCAGACACAATAAATATCACTATCAAGGCTGGTTTATAGAAGTGATTCAACACTGTTTAAATGTCAAAGATTGCCATATAATGATCAACCGCAGCTCCAACTGACTGTGAATACTTGGCACATTTTTCTTGCCTTTACTAATCTGCATTTGTGAAGCAAATCATTGATTCAGTATGAAAAGTATAAGATCACAAGTGAAATGTGTGTTGCATTTTTTTTTTACAGTTTGTGCTAACAATTTGATCAGAAATTTGCATATCCCATATGTTTGCAAAAACCCTGATGATCAAATTGCCAGAATGACACAAGAATGATCCAAAGAGCGAGAGTCGAGAGTCTCACAAATTTACTTATTTGATTAGTGACCTAGAAATAATGCAGCATGCAGCATTTCTGTATTTACAGGTTTAAATGACATTTTGAATGCCAGATTATCCATGGGTTGGGGCACCACTATGTATTATATTTATTTTATTACATACAACATTTAGTTCCGGTCCTTTAATTTGATTGATCCAATGGTGTTCCAAGAGTGATGATATACACTCGAGCAGTATTGGGATGCGTGCTTTAATGGTGGGATGCACACTTTCGTGACTCTGATTCTATAGGTTTCTGACTTGTGATTCTGTAGGTTTCATATATATGTCAATTAGTCATTAAATAGTTCACTCAACAGATTGATTGCTGATTTATTCAAGAATCAGACGGCATCACTGTTGCTTTCTTTGGAACGTCTTAGTTTGGCAGAACCAAACTAGATCAAGTAAGTGACAGTATTTGTCTAAAATGTAAATTACTCAGTATTAACTTATATATTTTTAAAAACGCCTTGCTACGAGCTATGGCTAACCGAGACTTGCCGAGTCATTAGTCACTAACCGAGTCATAGCACTTGCATATTATTGCTCTTTTGTTGGTTTTGATTGCTTCTATTGTCATCATTTGTAAGTCGCTTTGGACAAAAGTGTCTGCTAAATGACTAAAATGTAAATGTAAAATGTAACTGCTGTTGAACTGTTGTATAAAAGCAGTATCTCATACTACCATTTGAAGTCATATAAGATTTTGTATTGTTTTTGAAGTCTCTCATGGTCAGCAAGTCTGCATTTATTTGATTAATACAGTAATATTTTAAAATAATATTACAATTTACAATAAGTGTTTTCTCTCTATATATATATATATATATATATATATTACAATGTAATTTATTCCTGTGATGGCAAAGCTAAATGTTCTTATTATTTTTGGTGTTGAAAACTATTTGTGGGATACAAAAAAAAATGTATCCCACAAAAAGCATTAAAAACATTTGTGTGAAATAAAATCTTATGTAACATTGTCTTTTTTATAATAATAAATTAATGTATAATATAATATATTGCCTCTGGATATGTACTGTCAGTTTTCTTTTTTATAGCCTGTCACTATCTGTCACTGACAAGTGCACAAAAATGTGCTTGATAGTCCTGTAAAAGAAACCAATTTGAAAACTTTGAATGATTCACATGTACATTCACTCATCAGGAAACAATGCACGCATAATCGGTCAATATCATTCAGTCATATCAGTATAAAGATTCCTGACAGATGGCCGTCATCCAACAGCTCTCGCGTAAAAGAAAGTTTGAGTCAGAATTACTCTTGGCTGAGCTGGACGGAGCTACACCCTCGAGGAACAAAGGCTGTCCTGAATACAAAAACTTCCAATTGGCTCATTTTATTCAGTTCATTGTAAACTCAGATGCCTTCTGATTAGCAGTTCTACAGTATTTTTTTGTGTACTACTGGGAAAGTACGGTGAAACCTAAACACACAGCTGCAGGCTGATCGAGGTTGCAACATGTTACAAGTTATTCTGCTAATTTGGTGTGCTTCTTTTGTTTTAAGAATTATGCATTTAAAAATTCAAGTGTCAAAAATGACTTTTCTTTCTTCCAAATGGCAAAATCTTAGATTTAAGGCCCGTTCACACCAAGGGCAAAGGACTATAATGATAATAACAAAGATACAGTTTTAATAATCATTCTAAATTTACCAGAGTCCACACCACAACTATTACGATAACGGCACTGAATTGTATAGTTGGAATTGCTTTCACACTGATTTTTTAATTTTTTTCTCCAGCTAATGAATGATAAAAACACTGACGGCCAATCAGAATCCATCCTGCTTTGAAGAGCTGGAGCATTTAAAGCAGTAGATGACAAAACTGTAGCACATCGGACAAAACTTTATCATGCATTGTCATGGATGCTAATATAGTTATCGTTCTTGATGTGAACAGAACTTTAAAGGTAAAATGTGTAATTTCTGCAAAAATACTGACTATTTTCAAAAATGTTTTATAAACGTGTTGAACAGTTTCCATTGGTCTGTCAGACAAATAACACCACCAAAAACTCACGTGATTGACTGAGCAGTTGCTGTGTCAGGCTGGTCAGGATGATCAAACAAACAGAGCAATGTTTTGATAGCACCACAAATGAAACCAACTTGTTGACTGTCCACATTAAAGTGGGAAATAGATGTTATTTTAAACTGATAGTTCATCCAAAAAAATTCAATTTGTCATCAATTTGTTGTTCGAAACCAATATGACCAATATGTTTAACTCTTTTGTCTGTATAAAGAAAAAGAATGGGGTCCAAAACAACATCAGGCCCCACTGACTTTTATTGTATGGACAAAAAAAAAAATATATATATATATATTTTTTTTTTTTAAATATCTTCTTTCATGTTCCAGAGAAGAAAAAAAGTCACACAGGTTTGGAGTGACATGATTTACAGAATTTTTGTTTTTGGTTTCCTGTTAACATCCAAAAGAGACACACGCTCCCACAAGCCGTCTCAAAAAGTGTCATCTCATTGAAGAATGTCCTTTGATTCAATAATCCTTTAATTTCAGTCATTTGACCACTCAGGAACTCAGAAATGACAAAAATACAGTATTTTCCACCCACATCCCATTGTATACGAGTTATTAATGCGTAACCTGACTAAATAAATTAGAAAGAAAATAAGAGGAGAAAATAAGACTTCCAAAACATCTTTTGAGGTTTGCATTCGTTATAGTACACTGTACAATGCAGCATGAAGATGGAAAAACATCAATAAAATAAGACCACAGAGACAAATACAAATGATAAATAAATAGGAATTAACAAAACAAACTCGAATAGAAAAAAAACAACACACAATAATTCAAACACCAGTCATTTGTCCAAATCATCAAAATGATCCTGAATCACATTTAAAAGGGTCCTTGCAGATAAATGGAGGAAAAAAACACTGTGTCCACCGTCGTACCTTATAGGTTCCCAAAATCAGTCTTTCCACTTCACAAAGTCCTCTGAACACGCTCCTCCCGGGTCATATTACGCTTACATGGCTTTCAAGTCTACAATATTGTGTCAAGCGTTTGATCAGTTTTTGTGAAACTATGCAGCAGAATCAATCCAGTCTTTTCCTGCGTAGAATCCAGCTCTACACAGTTAGATCTGAAACTGTTCCCACACACAACACCAGCTCTCTCTCCCATGCACGCACATACACATCCACCCACTCGCGCATAAATACAATAAGGCTGAAACAGGTGCTAGTGGTACAGGTATGACTGTTATGTTGCATGTTCAGTTTGGAACCAATCTGTGACAGGAATCGTGTAAAGAGGAAATCGAAGCAAGACTGCATTCTAAAGAAATCCAAAGTTGCCGCCATTGTATGAAATAGTATCTGTCAAAGACACACGCACACACACGGGACTTGAAACTGGCAGTCTGTTTCCTTTACAAAAGCCTTGCAGATTGAATGAACTTCCTCTGATTTCCATTGAAAATTGCAAAGCAAAAGTGAATTTCCCAGGTTGTGCAATTGGGACAGACTGAAACCTTGCGACTTTTCTATACAAAAAGGTTTTAGGTGAAATTATCTTGGCATGTGGGTCCAAAGGTCTTTCAGCTGCCTCTGAAATAGTGAAATCCCCTTTCATGTAGCTATTAACCGAAGTTTAGCATCCTTAAACTCAAACGCACACAGTTCAGAGGCTCATTTAAGAGGCAATGTATTCACATTTTATCATTATTGTGTCTAAGGAGTAACATGTTAATGGCTTGTCTTGTATTTCCTTGAGTCCTCTCTGAAATGTTACAGGAAATACTGTACGTGAAAACACTTTGCATGAGGACATCACATAGGAAGCAATGGGGAGCTAAATAGTGTGTAGAATCAAATAAAGTTTTGGCTCCCAGGCTACCTTCTTTCAAGAATCATCCAAATTAACAGGATAGTTCATCAGAAAATGAAAATTTGGTCCTTTACTCACCCTTACAGGGTTAGTTCACCCCAAAATAAAAAAAAATACAATTCTGTCATTAATTACTCACCCTCATGTCATTCCAAACCCATAAGACCTTTGTTCATCTTCGGAACACAAATTAAGATATTTTTGATGTAATCCGAGAGCTTTCTGACAGCAACGCAACTACCACGTTCAATGCCCAGAAAGGTAGTAAGGACATCTTTAAAATAGTCCATGTGACATCAGTGGTTCAACCTTAATTTTATGAAGCTACAAGAATATATTGTTGCGCAAAGAAAACAAAAATAATGATTGTATTCAACAATCTCTCTTCGATGCACGTTCACGAGAGCCGGCGTTCGGACGTAGAACCCAGATACACTGTGCCTTGTTTACAAGCAGAGAAAGACGCACGCTGTACATAAAACAGTCTTCGTAAACATGTCTGAAGATTTCATCAGAAGATGACTTGCAACTTTTTGCCTAGCCTTACTTATTCGAACCAGAATACACAGGCTTAATAGCTAAGAGAGATGGATATTCTACATCAGAATGCCATGAACGCGCCTCGACGACTGACACGGAAGAGAAGAAATTGTTGAATAAAGTCATTATTTTTGTTTTATTTTTGCACAAAAAGTATTCTCATGGTTCCTAACATTACGGTTGAACCACTGATGTCACATTGACTATTTTAACGATGTCTTTACTACCTTTTTGAGCCTTGAACGTGGTAGTTACGTTGCTGTCTATGCAGGGTTCGAAAGCTCTCGGATTTCATCAAAATATCTTAATTTGTGTTCCGAAGATGAATGAAGGTCTTACAGGTTTGGAACAGCATGAGGGTGAGTAATTAATGACAGCATTTTTTCATTTTTGGGTGAACTATCCCTCTAATATCATCCCAAACTTGCATGATTTTGTTTCTTCAGTGGAATGCTAAAAAGGTCATTGAAATTGGCCCAATTTTGTTTCGGACTCCACTTATTTTTAGTGTCTTCAAAATATCTTCTTTTACGTTCCAATTAAAAAAAGAAAGTCAGGTTTGGAAGGACATGAGAATGAGAAAATCATAACAGAATGTCCATTTTTGGCTGAACTATCCCTTTAAGAAAAGATACAATCATACTGACGACTTCACGCTTTGTACATGTTGGCGGCAGTGGCGAGCGCTAACTGTCCATTGGCCGCGACCACACATGGCTCCTCCTCCAAGAGTCCATTGGGGTCGGCGTGCGGGATGCTGTCGTGGTAGCTGCTGAAGCTGATGTTGTCTTCCTTCAGCTCAATGGTCCAAAACGGGGCGTTGAGTTTCCTATTGCGGTACTCACGATACGTATACACGCCTCCGACGAAGCCCATGAGGAGAACGACCACCACGATGATGACGGCCAGGATGATGATGTTAAACTGCGTCCAGGACACTACTGTCAGGGCAGAGGCCGTGCTGTTGTGTCCTGAGGAGTCTCCCGTGTCGGACTGAAGGGTCGGTAGGCTTGGGTGGGTGGTAGGGGAGGAGGAGGAAGTGAGGAGGCGGGATGCAGGTGTAGAAGCAATAGAACTTGTGGATTTGGGGATTTCTGCAGTGGAGGTCTTGATGTCCTGAGTCGGGAGGATTCTCACAGCTGAGGGAGAAAGAGAGTCAATGATTTAAATGGTTATAGTGTGTCTAAACAGATGATAAAGGTTATAAATGAAAAATGATTAACTAAGAACATTAGCTGAATAAGCATTCAAGATGAATCGCAAATCAGCCAATAAACCAAACAAATTAGGATTAGGACTGCATCAATAAGTTCATCAATTATGAAACAAGTTCAATTCAGTGATAAGCAGCTTTACAGAATAGAACAACAGTGCTGTTATTGTTGAACGCTCCCATTAAAATCAACGTAAATGGAAAATGTATCCTCTAGCACACTGTCATGACAGCTTGTTATAGTTTGTACAAAATGTCACAATTGTATGGCATATAGAATTTATTTAAAATGTAAATAACTGTTTTGTTTTTCATGCTGCTAAGAGGGTCAGTGTAAAGTGGTCTACTTAGGCCACATCAAAAACAGCAACATATTCATTTAGGAACACAGATTTTAGCTCCTTTTTGTATATCTATCTATATATATATATATATATCTATATATATATATATATACACAGTGGTGGCCAAAATGATTAGAATACTAGTATTTTCAGCAGCTAAACAATGTTTTTAAGTCATTTATTTCTATCTTTTGCTGTAGTGTGTCAGTAGGAAATATCAGTTTACATTTCCAAACATTCACTTTGCCATTAATTGTAATAATCCAGTGAGATTTTTGTTTGCACAACAGCCAGTGATCCACATAGAGATCTGATCTCATCATCATCCAGTCTGTCTGGAAAGACATGAACAAACTGAGACAGACTAAATCCAGAATAACTGTGGCAACGTCTCCAAGATGCTTCAAGAAACCTACCTGTAAAGCTCCATCACTGTTAAAAGTTTTAGGCACTTGTGTAAAAAATGCGGTAAAACGAGGATGCTGTCAAAATTAAAGTCATAAATAGATTTTCTTTATCAATTAACTTCTATTAACTAAATTAAATCAACATTTGGTGTGAGTGTGACCATCCTTTGCGTTTAAAGCAGCTTTTGCCCTATAGGTGCACTTGCACATAGTTTTTCAGGTAGCTTTGCAGGTAGGTCTCTTGAAGCATCTTGGAGACATTGACAGAGTTCTTCTGGATTTAGTCTGTCTCAGTTTGTTCATGTCTTTCCAGACAGACTGGATGATGGTGAGATCAGGGGTGTATTCCAGAAAGCACAGTTAACTTACCATCTGCTAAACCCTGAACTTTCGGTTGATTAACCCAAAACCTTGCTTACTCGAGGTATGTGGTTCCAAAAATGGGTTAGGTGTCCCAATCACCCAAATATTACCAAAAAATTTTTTTTGGCTCAGTTTACAGAAAAGTGTACGTCACACATCCTTTCATTATAATATAACATTGTTTCCTCCTCAAATGGGTAGTTAACATCTTCAGTATTACAGAAATATATCATGTGTTCGGCTGATGTTTTTAATTTATGGCAAGAAACCTTGCTCATGTCGGAAATTCAAAAACTGTCCCAATCACCCTTAATTCACCCTATAGTATATTCCTGGTTAAGACTCAAGACACTCAACAGAGCGATGAATCGATGAGTCACTATGGAAACGGACGCTAAGAAAAAGTGCGCCATGCTATTTCTTTCTTCTTCTTTTGTTCAATGGTCATTTACATGCTTAGTGCATATCGCCACCTAATTGATGGTTGTGCTATCATTTTTCTTTTTTTTCCGTTTAATCTACAATCCTTGAGAATAAGAATTATATAGTTTGTTTGATACTAATTATATATTAAGTCATATCAGATATGTATTTTTATTATAGAAATACATTATTGAAAATGCCGATCCATGTGTGAGATGATAATATAGAATGTAATAAATATATATAATATAATAAATTAAACATTACTTTGTCATAATAGTGTTTTATAATTTATACAGATGACTGTTATATAGGCTATGCCAATAAAATAAATATAACAATATCATATTAGAATAATATTACCTTATTTATTACTTATATTAACGCTTTATAATTAACATATCATACAACTATATATATATATATATAGTAGGCTATATTACATAACTATATTATGTAGGGATTTCTTAATACCACAAACCACAGGACTGTGATATGCCACTGAATCAACTGTGACGTTGGTTTTCAAAAAACACAATGGACCAACACCAGCAGATGACATTGCACGCCAAATCATCACAGACTGTGGAAACTTAACACTGGACTTCAAGCAACTTGAAGTCCAGCAACTTTCAACTTCAACTTGAAGTTGAAGTCCAACTCCGGATTGACAATAAAGCAGACTTGACTTGACTTGGTTCTAATTTGTTGAGATAGTGAATTGGTGGGTTTTTGTTAAATGTGTGCCAAAATCATCACAATTAAAAGAACCAAAGACTTAAACTACTTCAGTCTGTGTGCATTGAATTTATTTAATACACGAGTTTCACAATTTGAGTTGAATTACTGAAATAAATGAACTTTTCCACGATATTCTAATTTATTGAGATGCACCTGTATAGTAGGCTATATTGCATAACTTTATTGTAAAAATATATAATATTGTGCGCAATCTGTCACGCCCACTGAAGGCTCGTCAGTAGATCACGTGTGCGCTGATAGCGCTGAAGTGAACTAACCCTGGAACATAACCTGCTCCGGAGCAGGTTATCTTCACAGAGCAAGTTGCTATGGCTACTTAGTTACATGCCCTGAAAGTTACCTCCGATTTTGGAACCGAATGCTGAGGTTATCCGCTCGCTTATCCTCAAACATACCTGGGTATGTCACAAAACCTGCTTTCTGGAATACCCCCCAGATCTCTATGTGGATCACTGGCTGTTGTGCAAACAAAAATCTCACTGGATTATTACAATTAATGGCAAAGCGAATGTTTGGAAATGTAAACTGATATTTCCTACTGACACACTACAGCAAAAGACAGAAATAAATGACTTAAAAGCATTTTTTAGCTGCTGAAAATAGTAGTGTTCTAATCATTTTGGTCACCACTGAATATATGGATGTGTGATGAAGATATGTGAATAAAACAATGTTGACATGACATTTTTTAATATGTAGATCCAATTTTTTCTTGTATATTTTCATCCTTTATACAGCAAAGAATGCAGGTGTTGACCATAAACAAAAATACCCATTAAATTTTTTCCAGTAAACTGAAAAAAAAAGAAAAGAAAAAAAAAAAAAAAGGAAACTGCTCTGTGGTGTGGCTGTTTGTATGATGAAAATCTGGATAACAGCAGAGTGGTACTTTTATTTCTTTTAAGTCTAATTCCTAGTCATATTAGAATGATATCTTAGTTTTACCGGCAATATATATATATATAGTTTGTGATTGCATTTTATATGTCCAGACGTGCAGTCTACCAATAACATTAGAGCGACAGCAGTAGGAACGCCCACAAGCATCTTCACAGCACAGAGTCTAGCGACATACAGCGAAAAAGTCGCTGGCAGCGTGAACGGGGCTAAAGAGGTGTGTGCATGCTGGGAAAGCAAGAACCCGCGCGGCAGTACTGGAGAGTCTCAGAAACTAAAAAGGTTTGTCCAAGAAGCCACTAGATTTGTCGCTAGGAAGTAAACTGAAAAAAAAAAAAAAGAAAAAAAAAAAAAAAGGAAACTGCTCTGTGGTGTGGCTGTTTGTATGATGAAAATCTGGATAAAATGCAATTATTTTTAAATTCTGTTATTAGGATCTATTTCAAGAAAGTACTATGCATTTCCATAAAAATGGATTTACTATTTTGAAATCAATTATTGCATCATGTGACTCACAAAATCTATTTCAAAATAAGCTAAATTTAGAGGAAAAAAATTTAAAAAGGCACCCCCAACAGGAAGCAGATAAGACACGTCAAGCATGTCAAGTTTTACCCCCCCACTATTAATCACATTTGTAATATTTGACGTGGAGCTACTTTGAACTAACATGACCTTTATTCATATTTTCAGTACTGTGGTCTGATGCCTCCACATGACGGAAAACATCAATGCATTAACAAGCATTAAAGACGTTAAAACTTTGCTGATTTGTGTTGATTCAGCATATGGGTGTCTAACTGTTCAAATCTGTCAAAAGAGTAGAAGAAAAATGCAAATATATACATTTAACGTCAAACCTCGTCATCTGTATGTCCATGTTCATTTGTCATCTACCCTAAAGTTAATCTAATATCTAATGTTATAATACTTTAAATACGGCATTGTCAAAAGCATAGAGTGCCCAGGAAGTCTACACTGACCATAAACATCCGCCTCAAGGATCCTTATCCTTAGTTAAGGTAAAAGTGTGAACGGTATAATAAAATCATTAAAAATGATCCAGACTACATCAAACTTGCATTCATTATTCATGACTCATGTGATGGGATCCTAGCAACCACTTCTGCAACAAATGCACCCGCATATCTTTGACGTGACTTCATTACATGAGTTACTGCAGTGACACATGCTTTTTCATCAGTGGGATCATGTCACACTCCCACTGTCTATTTAATGTCCACCTGATAAATATTGCACACAAAACAGTGAGCACTTGCTAAAATCCTCCATTCGGACTTGCAGTTTCAGGGAATCTGGCTGGACAGTTTTACCAGTCTGCCTGAAACTGGCTGCAAGATACCACTTTTGAGGAAGAAAGAATCACAGGACTTGCAAACGTTTGCAAGTTTCATGATATCATATGAGTGTCTGTTAAAAATAATTGGTAATTTTAGATGGACAGAAATTGCGGTATGTCACATGTCAAACACTCATGTGCAACATGTCAAGGAACATTTTTATGTGCACTAAAATATTTGGAAATATATATATATATTTTGATAATTAATAATATTACTGTATTTTTGATCAAATATGTAGCCTTTAATTAAAAAAAAGATATATATCTTTTTTTTAATTAAAGGCTACATATTTGATCAAAAATACAGTAATATTATTAATTATCATAATATTATTACAATTTAAAATAAGTGTTTTCTATTTTAACATATTTTCAAATGTAATTTATTCATGTGATGCAATGCTGAATTGTCAGCATCATTACTTCAAGTCTTCAGTGTCACATGATCCTTCAGAAATCATTTTAATATGATGATTTCCTGATACACACACACACACACACACACACACACACACACACACACAATACAACAATAATAATAATATTTTCAGCAATGATGCATCCAATTGATTTGAGTAAAAACATTTATAGTGTTACAAAAGATGTATGTTGAACTTTCTATTCATCAAAGAATCCTGAAAAAAATAATGACAGTTTCCACAAGAATATTAAGCAGCATGTTTTCAACATTGATAATAATAAGAAGCATAATTAATAACTGAGCACCAATAATGATTAATAATAACCTTTGGTCTGTCCAATCCAATGATTGTAAACCATGTTGTAAACAGTCATTAGGTCCGTCAGACTGAAGATATTTTAGCGGTAATGAGACCAAAAATATTTAAGACCCATCGAATCCGAATTTAAGACATTTTAAGACTTTTTAAGGCCTTATATTAGGAAAACGTTATTTAAGACTTTTTAAGGACCCGCGGACACCCTGTTTAAAAATATATTAAGATATAAAACAGTTATTTTAAATTGTAATCATATTTTACAATATTACTATTTTAATTGTATTTTGATCAAATAAATGCAGACTTGGTAAGCGTAAGATATGATCAAAAACATTTAAAGCAATCCAAACGTCTGAGCAGTAGTGTATGCTTCCACAGTAGGCCTACCTCTCAGGGTGCAGTTGTGGTAGCGGGCGTCCCCCGTGTATCCACGAGTGCAGATCTCACAGTGTGCTCCCGCTGTGTGGTTGATGCAGCGGTGGCAGTGGCCAGTCTCAGGGTGGCAGATTTGTGGCATGGAGCGAGGGTCGGCGTTCCCATTACAGTCGCAGGGCACACACACGCCTGAGGATTTAAATAAACCGTCTGTGCACACGTTGCATGTCGGGCCGGAGAAGCCAGGCTTACATTGGTCACATACAGGTCGTCCACTGGAATCTGTAAATGCAGTTGAACAGATCTGATCAAAAACTAGAGTTACATTATACAGTAATATTTTAGTTTCCTCATGCACAGATTCCTTCAGATCCCTTTCTAATCCTGGATTCATTTTAATGTACAGTGGGCCAAAAAGGTATTTGGATAGTTTTTTTAAATTTATTTATTTATTTTTATTCTAATTTATTTTATAAATAGAAATTTATTTATTTATACATACTTGAAAATGTATGAATGCATTACATAATGCAACAAGATATATATTTTGTAAGACACCTGTGTGAAGTTGAAGGGAACTGACTTCATACAATCTATTCACATGGTTTTTGTTTGTTTTTGTCTTTTGCTAAAAAAAAAAAAGTCCTTTTTATTTAGTCTTATTTGTCATGTCATATTCATTAATGTATTCCATTTCACTCTGACTAAAATTTAAGTAAATGAAAATAACATTTTAATTGACAATTTTAGTTGTAGAAGAACATGTCGAACTGTAACCACATTTAAGTAAACATGAACATTTATTAATTTAAACATAGCAAACAAATTAAGGTTTTATCAACATGAAAAAAAAAGAAGTATAAGATAACAACCATATTCTTTCTAGATTTTTCTTCTAAACACACTAGTGTATTACTAGTATATTGTTATTCTTGCTGAACTTTTGGCATTTGTTATGGTGAACAGTATTATGTTTGAATTATTAACTGAATTATTGTCACGATGGTCTTTGAATGGGGTTGATGTAATAATAAAAAATCGTCAGTCAACCCCTTTTTAAGTTATTATTTGTACAAAAAAATTATAATAATAATATATATATATACACACACACACACACACACACATATACACAGTACTCTTTAGCATCTTACACGTGTTTTTTTTTTAAGTAACCTGTGTAAAATATTTTTAGGGACAACTTGTAGTTCCAACTCACACAACTAGGTGGCGCCATAGCACCAAATTTCAAGCCTGACACCATATTCTACAAAAGTGCAGAATAAAATGACATGATGAAGTGGTCTCTTTTTAATTTACTTATTTAAACCTTATATATATATATATATATGTAGATGGAAACACTGGTACTCCAAGATACTTAAAAATGCCAAGGTATTACCACAGTGCCATACCCAGAAACCATGGTATTGCCGTGATGTGCCTGTAAGTGGAATCAGAAGGAGGAGCCATCCTTAAGACTCTTAAGTTAAGTGTGTTCAGCACTGGCCCACACACACACACAACCGGTGTCATCAATGAAATATTCATGATTGGAAAAAAAGCCAGTTAGCAGGATGTGTGAATGACTGTGCTAGATTAACATCCTGACCTGCCTGACTGCTGCAGCACTCCCTGACTGAACTACAGCCGCCTGCTAGCAGAAACATCATGCAGTAATGCAAGCTTCTGCAGTTTCAATATTCATGACACCGCTGATCAGTTTCCTCAATGGCCGCTGTTGCCAGGGCAACCCCTCCCTGAAGCAGATCTCCCCCCACACTGACCCCCTCGCTGCCACAGCCTGTGACACGAGACGGAGACAAACTGCCGGCCAGTGACAGAAGGAAGCGGCCAGACGGCAGAGGCATTCATTTCAGCACTCCTCCCGTTCCTGCCATGAGATCTCGTGGGCCGTGCCTGTGCCAGCCTCATGCTCCAGCTACAGACAGTGTGATGCCAACAGACGAGGCTTCACCCCCTTCAGCATCACCAGGGGAGACGACTCAAGAGTTTAGAAATGCACACACACACATTTGGCCTAGAATTTTTGCTCTTTTTGAGTGTTTTGAGGGTTTTGTAACCATGAAAGACCCCAAGAAATGGCTTGACATCAGTTTTCCTACCTGTGTTGAGGTATTTCCTGTTAAAACAGGAAGTTCGGTGGGACATTTCTGTATCTATCTATCTATCTATCTATCTGTCTGTCTGTCTGTCTGTCTGTAATTTTTCCAGTGTGCATATCTTACTATATGGTATTTTCTAACCAGTAAAAAGTACTGTTAGATGTATAAACCTGAAGAGACACATAAAACTGAAAAAAATGGAAAATTTTTTTTTAAAATTATTCTCATGATTTTCAACCTCTTTAAAAAGCAAAATTAAGCAGTACTGATGTCAAATTCTATATTTTAGCTTATTTTATTATTTTGTATTTTATTTTTGTTTTTATTTTATCACTTTTATTTATTTGTCAGTATTATATTAATCAATTATTTTATATAATCAATTATTTTCAAATTATTAAATTATTTATTAGTATTTATCAAGTTATTTATTTATTATAAATATTCTATTAATTAATGATTATATTTATAACTATTACATTAAAGATTTGATTGATTTATTGTTAAATAATTGTATTTAAATTATGTGTATTAATTAATTATTTATTAAATTATTTTATTTAAATATTTGCACAATTTTTCTCTGAGCGTTTTGGTGGATACCCAGCTTAATAGGTAGTAACTTAGCAGATCGATGGAAATTTCAAGTACCCTTATAGGAGTAACCTGGGTTCAATCATTCAGCTCAAGAGCACAATGGTGGATTGGTGAGTCTTGCAGGATTTAAATCTACAACCTTTCAGTCATTAGCCCAAATCTTTAACTATTACACCACTCCACAAAATGAAAACTTAAAATGAACCATCTTTTGTGGACAGTGAAAGACAGCTGTGGGCCTGTTGACACGCTGTTGACTTCTGTACTGCTTCAGCTCCCTCATCTTCCACTCTCTTGCATTTTCCATCTCTCTCCTTTATAAGACAATATTAAACTCAAATAAATATTTCATGTCCACATTATATATATTTATTTCTTGGATTGTTAAGTAGAAATAGCTGGCATAATGTACAGTCTGACGATCACTATCAGTACAAATATAATGATCGGTTGACTGTACATTATGCATTACATATTTGGCCTATAAATATATAAATAATACTGAGGGAGTACACTTATATAAGAGTTCTGAACTTTCAGTGCCCTTTCTCTCTCTCTTCCTCACGCTGGCTCATTGACTTTCCTCCTCAGGCTCCAGTGACCGTAAATGTAAAATGACAACCCAAAGCCACATCACCATAGCTGTTGCTGTGCAAGTGCATCCAATGGAAAGGCAGCTGAGATGGAAACAAAGCCGCTGATTGGCTCTTCAGTACCATACAAATTTTTAGCTGTGACAAAGATTAAATACCAGGTTGTGTATGAATGACAAAAACATAAAAAGATCCTAATTATTCCAGACTTTTGACCGGAAATGTAAATGTCCTGGTCCTCTTGTACATGATCCATCAGTGCATGTCATGCAAAAAGGAAAAATGTTTGTTATCACATCTCACATCAAAATCGAACTTTCTGTGCCTACTATTGTTCTGCCCTGCTGAATAATTCCCAGTCACTTTCAGGACATCATGTGCTGAGCGCAGAAGCTGCTCTGACCCCTGTCAGCGTGTCACAGAGATGCAGACTCACCGAGATGGCAGCTGCTGCTGGAGCTCTCGGAGGAACAGGGACAAGGCAGACAGGTGTCCACGGACCCCTCACCATGACGCCGGTAGAAGTTGGGCAGACACTCCTCACAGTTGTGGCCCTGAGTCTTGTCCTGACAGTCCAAACAAATACCTGAGGAAGAGAATGAGAATATACAGAACAACTGATCATTAGCAATAGTTCTGACTGAACATCAGACTTCCTGAGAATCTTATGTAAATCATTATATAAGGTAAGGGCTAGTTTAGCACAGTGAGCCTTGAACTGTGCTAAAGTGAGCCTTGAACCTATCACCAGTTTAAAGCTTATGTTTAAAGTGCTCTCGGTCTTAAATGGCACTAGGTAATTTCTTGATGATTTAAGCCCCAATCTAAGAAATGCTGTTCTGGAGCTCTAGTTAACATTCAAGATCAGGGTTTTCAAGTGGAGAGATATAAAACAAAGGCCACAGTTTCTGTCAGTGCTGTTAATGTTGACAAAAACTATTAATTTTATTTTTGTTCATTGAAATTAAGATTAAAATAAAATATAAATATTCATTTATATTCAGTTGAAGTACTAAAATTAAAAGTAGAATAAGTAAAAAAATAAATCTAAATAGAAATATAAAAAAAATAAATGATAAAACACATAATTAACTAAAATTAAAATGAAAACTTAAAATCTAAAAATAAAGGATAATTTAAAGCACTAATAAATAGGATAGTGGTATATAATAAAACTAAAATAACACTAGCTTCTGACCTTTTTCATTCATGACACTTCATAACTTAAGCACAACTAGCACAGCATAAATTTAGATAAATCAGTTTGGCAACTAGTTAATTAGTCATAATTGTTTAAAGCTATGTTAAATATTCCACTATTTAATTAGAATTTTAAAACTATACATTATATACACACACACACACACACACACACACGCACACGTGTAGCTAATCTGTTAACAGGTAATCAGTTTATTTTTATATTAAAAAATTATATTATACTATAAATCAAAGTTGCATGTAATTTCAAGTATATTAATTGAAATTAACAGAAAATATTAAGCATTATGTACTTAATATTATAATAATGTTTATAAATGTTAATGAAAGCCTAAAAGTATTAGAGAAAAAAGTGTGCGTATTAGTACCTTAATAGTACATATTTTGTACATGTATGATACATATTGTGGTTGATGAAAATATGCAATCTTGTGTCTGTATATCTTTGTCATTTTGGAGAGATTTTGCCTATGGTTTAATTATGTTCACTCTTAATTTCAGAGCTTAAATTTTTCTTCTTTGTTACAATTACATGAAAGCACTGCATTTGGTTTGGGCTTTATCACATTTGAAGCTGTAAGTTACAGTTTTCCAGTAGGAGTTTTGCGTGGACAATGACAACGCAATCTAACTGGCCAAAAGCCTTTGTGTACTTTGCGCACTATTGTTTTGGCTCTGTGAGTTACTGCCTGTCTCGTGTGTGTGTGTGTGTGTGTGTGTGTGTGGTATTATGCTGCAGGGCGGCTGTGAGTCTATGAACTGTAAGCAGTCTCTGGAGATGCTGATTGGGTTTTATGACTGAGGAGGGCTGTAAATCTGACTGTGGCTCTCCGCATCGAGGAAAGGTTACCAGCTACCATCTGCACACACACACTGCAGAGAGGGAAAGACAGAGACAGATGGGTTCCTAGACACACACACGCGCACATGCACTTGAACAAGCAGTTGACAAACACGTCTGTGACTTTAGTAGACTGAGGCCCGGGTGAAATGATTTAAGGTAAACACGCCTACACTTCTCAGATGTCAGCAGGTTTGCTTAACAAATTAGCACACACACACACACACACACACACCAGCATGAGCATTATGTTGATAGGGCTTTTTGGTCCTGATTCAAATTGAGGTTAATTAAGTCCAGGTTGCCTAGGATACAGGGAAGAAGAGAGAAAAAGAGAGGGAAGTGTGGAGGATGTTGTGATGAATCGCTCTAGGTGAGTCAATCTCAAATCTGGAGATATCATTTTAAAGGAACAGAAAAAAAAGAAATTGTACTTTTATTCATGTCATTCCAAAACAAAAGTATCATAATATTCTTGAATTTAAAACGAGCTGTTTTCTGAGGGTTATTAAATAATGCTTTTTATTGATGATGAGGACATTTGAAAGGGTTAGTTCACCCAAAAATTTTAATTCTGTCATTAATTACTCACCCTCATTTCGTTCCAAACCTGTAAGACCTTCGTTCATCTTCGGAACACACATTAAGATATTTTTGATTAAATCCGAGAGCTCTCAGACCCTCCATAGACAGAAACACAACTGCAATGTTCCCAAGTCCAGAAACATAGCAAGGACATCGGTAAAATAGTCCATGTGACATCAGGGGTTCAACCGTAATTTTACGAAGCTACGAGAATACTTTTCGTGCGCAAAGAAAACAAAAATAACGGCTTTATTCAACAACTCTTCTTCTCCTCATCCTGTCTGCAGCCGTGTGCCGCCATTGTGGAGAGTACCACGACGCATGCACTTGCTTTCGCTTCATGTAAACAATGCATGCGCATGGCGCTGCTGCTTACGTAATACGTACATGCGTCAGCCCGCGTATGCGTCGTTTACATGAAGTGGACCAAGCACATGCGTCGTGATACTCTTTTCACAATGGCGGCGCACCGCTGCAGACAGGATGAGGAGGGGAAAAATAGTTGAATAAAGCCGTTATTTTTGTTTTCTTTGCACACAAAAAGTATTCTCGTAGCTTCGTAAAATTACGGTTGAACCCCTGATGTCACATGGACTATTTTACTGATGTCCTTGCTACGTTTCTGTGCCTTGATCGTGGTAGTTCCCTTGCTATCTATGGAGGGTCAGAGAGGTCTCGGATTTAATCAAAAACATTTTAATTTGTGTTCTGAAGATGCACAAAAGTCTGACAGGTTTGGAACGACATGAGGGTGAGTAATTAATGACAGAATTTTCATTTTTGGGTGAACTATCCCTTTAAGTTATTAAACTTGCAGGATTTATTAAGCATACAAAGACCTCTTCTGTATCAAAAGATCAAGGGAAATTTGGTTTCTCACGTCAAGACCCCTTTAAATTATGCTGAACGTGTGCTGGACTGACCTGACTGAGGGTGGCAGTAGGTAGAGTGGTTGTTGCATTGGCACGGTTGGCATCCTGTGCTGCTGAAGTGAAAGAATCCAGGGTGGCAGTCGTCACACTTGGGCCCGTATACACCTGTCTTGCACTTACACAGCCCTGAGCTGCAAGAGAGAAACACAGAAAACACACATGAAAAAAACACTAAATCACAGCTTGACAACATTTATGACACTGGCAGCCTGGAAATTTTGTGTCCTCTTTGTGCATCCAGTTCCTGTGGTATCTGATCACACACATGGCTTTGCCCTAGACAGCTAACAATCCTGGTTTAAAATGCAGTCATGCACACTTTAAAGCACTGTAGACCTTTCATTTTTTAATTCCACCATCTCTACATGTGGGCACACATGAGGGACCTGTGGCCCAGACCACATTTGAAAACCATCTGCTGCTTCAGACCGGATTCCAGGAATCCCTCTGCATCTCTCTCTCACTCACACACACACACACACACACACACACACTCAAACTGTGTTTAATCTCAATGTGCCTGTAAAGTTGTCAACCCATAATAACAGCAGTCTGACTACTGAAACTACATAAGCTGTTGGAAGTGCTACATATGTAGGAAATCACAGAACCAACCAACAGAGTAAACTCCTGTTGAAAAAAACAGCATATGCTGGTTAGGTATGTTTTGAAGCATGACAGCTGGTCTGAGCTGGTTTAAGCCGGTTATGAGCTGGTCCTGAGAAGGAGCTAGTTGCTCAGGACAACCCATAATAACAGCAGTCTGACTACTGAAACTACATAAGCTGTTGGAAGTGCTACATATGTAGGAAATCACAGAACCAACCAACAGAGTAAACTCCTGTTGAAAAAAACAGCATATGCTGGTTAGGTATGTTTTGAAGCATGACAGCTGGTTTGAGCTGGTTTAAGCCGGTTATGAGCTGGTCCTGAGAAGGAGCTAGTTGCTCAGGACCAGCTTAGAACCAGCTCAAGACCAGCATAACCAGCTCAATACATACCCAACCAGCATATGCTGGATTTGTCAACAGGGATCAGACACCCAGAAGAAAAAAAGATCGACAGAGAATAATAACCTTACAATTCGTCTATTTATGTAGAACCAAAATCACACAACCACTAATTATACAGTATTTTTACATTTTCTGAAGTGTCACATGGCAATTGCAGCTCATGTGATTGGCCAGAACTGAGCATCCATTAGCAAAGATGGCAGATTTCAAACTGTACTTCCAGTGGCTTCTGCGCCCACAGAGAAACTACCATTGAGATAAAATCCCAAACACTATGTTTAAGCAACAGCAATAGGGATGCTTGCCTTCGCAAGTCCACTAATGACCCCTTATGCTTATCACCCTTTCATTTAGTAATTTTGCTGATTATGATGTCATTTAATGGATGCTTTAGTCCTCACTCTTGTAAAACAGTCATTAGTCTATTCCCCAAACACATAAACACGCCTCCATATCCCCCAATCACACACACACTCTCACACCCCAGGGCTGTTGCGTCAGGTCTGGGGTGAAGGTTAAGGTGAGGTGGCGTTTCCAGGGGTTGTGTGATTGGTTCTTGTGTGTGTGTAGAGCGAGTGATAGATGAGAGAGGGGCAGATGATGACACCCGTGGGACAAGCTTAAAGCGCTCGGCCATGCTGACAGGAGCTCAACGCTGGGGACCCCAGAAAAACAACAACAGCAGCGATAAAAGAGCCCATGGATGAAGCACAAAAGAAAGAGGAGATTTGAGAGGAAGTAAGAAGATTTTGAAAGAGGGAGAAAGAAACAAAGCATCATGGGGGATGGTTTTTTTTTTCCAATGGGCAGTTAGTTTGATGCCTTAAGAAATATAAATGAAATACAAACATACATTAATAATTCATTTATTAAATACTTTAATGACATTTAAAGGGAAGATGTAAATTGTCAAAATAATGCCAATAAATGGCTCTTAAAATAGGGACAGGATCAACAACATCAATGTTATCGTCATCATCATCCACCCACATTTACAGGCGAGTTGTCGATATAACTTATGGAAATTGTGACACTTGAGTTTCGCACTAGGGATGTTCATTTCGGTTATTTTTCCTAACCGACAACCGACACTCGTTAACCGATTGTTAACCGGCAAGATTATTTTAAATTAGAATTTAATTAAATTAGAAAGGATACGTGTCTGTGACTCGTTAAAAATACTAACATTTGTTTCCCGGGGATTAATTTTACATGCGCAAAAAGCAGCAAACAACAGAACATGAGGATTCACATGATCATATCACATCATGCACCTGCAGCGCTTCTGCGAGCGGAGAAAAACATAATAAAGCTAGGCTATATATATTATATATATATATATATTAGGGGTGGAACGGTTCAACTTACTCATGGTTCGGTTTGTATCACGGTTAGAGTCATGGTTTTGGTATGGTTTGGTTTGTGCAGAACCGTACGGTTCGATTTTTTTCCGCGAACCGTTCCACCCCTAATATATATATATATATATATATATATATATTTGCACAGATGCTTCCTGCAATGCATTGAAGAATCACACCTGCTCTGCACCTTCATACACTCACACAGTCTGTAATCTGAATGAATAAATACAGACACACATCGTAAATTATGCATTACTGGCCTAGAGGAAGCAGGGGAGTGGGAAAAAAACAGAAAGAGAGACAGAGGGGAAAAAAAGAGTGCTACACCCTATTTTGACTAGATCTTAGTCAGAGAAGATAGCTGCAGAGTTAGTGCATCAGAGAAAACCAAGAAGAAGAGCTGCTGTGCTGTAGCGGCAAATTTTCGGCATGTCTAGAACAATTCTTACAAGTATAACACGACGTAGCTCGGCACCGCGGACAGACGCCGTCGGTGTGCCTACACTCATAGAAAATAATGTATTTGAATTTTAAAGATGTGGCGCGATGCTGCGCTTCTCGTCTGGTGCGAGACCGCCTACAGAAATTGAATAAAGTAATGAAATGTAAAACAGCATTGCATATGACTATATAGATTAAAGATTAATCTTTATTAAAGCTACAAAAGCTATTCAATCAAAAGCAGTGAGTGATTTCTTTGTTGTTGCTGTTTGATTAATATTAAGAAAGTGCTGTCACTTTAAGAGAATGCACTGATCCAGTACGTTCAGCCGGCTACGTCTGCTATAGGATACTTACCAAGACGGCATTTTTACAATTTTTGTGTGAATTTGTCCATACACCCCCAAAACAAAATCAAGACTTTGTAAAAGAGCATAATAGGACCCCTTTAATATGATGCAAGTGAAAATGAGCTAGTGAGAAACAGATGTACAGTGTGTCCAATATGTTGTACTGTATCTTTCAATTTGTGTAAAAAATAATGTCACAGTGTAAAAATGTTTTTCAAATATATATACTCTTTATATACACACACTATTTACATAATACAATAAAATAAATAAATATAAGGCACATACATATATTTTACAACACACAGACACATATATACACATGCATCAATATGAATATAACATCTACATAATTATATTATAATAGTTATATTTCATGACATTTAAGCCTGATTCACAGTAGCCTACTGTGCATTATAAAAAATCTTAACATTTAAAAAGTTAACATTTTGCTTAAATATAATTGTAAATATAATTTAATATAAATATTCATCAGGATATATGTATTTCTTATTTGCTGTACAATAATTTAATGCTGACTTTAATAAAAAATTATCAGGATGATTTTCATATATTCTTATATACTATTTTCCCTATATACTAAAACTTAAAGGGGAAAATGTGCGTAATTGTCAACAAAATAATGAATAATTGTCATCTAACTGAATGAATGAATATATCATATCTTAAATGCAATATATCATATCTTATATCTTGAATATGGCATCTACTCTGATTAAAATCCATATCAAGTTGGTTGCTGTAGTTTCCATTCACTGGAAATGGTGTAACACCTCCTAACACATTCTAATGTGTGCTGCCACCATAGATATATGTTAAAAGAAAGAAAAAAAAAAACTCGGCATTGTTACCTAACACATCCTTTTAACATTAGTGGGATGTTAGTAGATACATTTGCACTTGCTGTGGCAGAGCGTGTGGGTGAGTGTGTGTGTATACTGTATGTGGATGTGCACGGGCCAATAGACAGGTTGCCATGGCGACGGTTCGGTTCCCAGAGCATTCTGGGGAATGAGAGTGAGGTGTGACATATATGACCTATCAATCACAATCTCCAGAGAAAGAGCAAAGGAGATCAAGAAACAGAGAAAAAGGCCGCCTGTTAACACTTTAATGCAACCAGAGAAAATGTTCTTGTGGCAGATGCAAAACACAAACATCTGCCCTTCCTAAAAACACTGGACTCAAAAGATGAGTCAGTGAGAGCATATAAAGATGCCTGTTTCCCAAACACATACACACACACACACACACACACAATCAGAGTGATTATCAAGGTCAGATAATGATCAATCACACCCTGTCTGACGGCCTTCCCTTGCATTGACATTCATTAGCAGACAGAGCCGTCGTCTGTGTGTCTCTAAAGCCAGCTGTTGAACAGAACCATTCATTAGGGTGGCACATTTAGCATTTGTGTAAACACCCAACAGGGCGGCGTTTTATAGCTGTTAGCATCAAGATGCTTATCTAAATGCATCCACCCCCATTTCAGAGCAATACATTTAGCCTTATTAAAAAAGCCAAGCGTACGGATAGAAACACAGCACTGTGTATTAGGAAAAACTGGTAAATGCGGCTTAAAACACATTTTTAAAGCAGGCTATTAAAAATCCAGGCTGGCAAAGGATATCAGTTATTTGTTGTCATAATATAAGTGAAAATACCTGTAATACCAGAAATAAACCTGTCTAGTAATTAGCACCATCTAAGCTGTGTGAGCATGGCATGATGGTATTGACAGATCATTTGTAATATGATACTCTGTCACTCAAGACTCACGGCACATTTCACATTAAACATTTTCAAGCGTTGAAATTAAATTAAATAACAAAATATTAGCATATTAAAATATTAGCTATAATAATAATCAAAATAAATTAAAATACTACTGCATGTGAAATAAATTGAGGTACATGCTAAAATTATTCAAGTGCAAGGAATTATGGGTATTCCCACAGCCTCAATTTTCTATTTTCAACTTTCTATTTATTAAACAATTCTGAGGGGGGGAAAAGCAGCACATCTGTTTTCAACATTGATAATAGTAATAAATGTTTCTTGAGCAGCATATTAGAATGATTTCTGAAGGATCATGTGACACTGAAGACTGGAGTAATGATGCTGAAAATTCAGCTTTGCATCACAGGAATAAATTACATTATACAATATATTAACATAGAAAAGAGTCATTTTAAATTGTAATAATATTTCACAATATCACATTTCCTTCTGTATTTGTGATCAAATAAATGAAGCATGGGTAAACATACTGTAAGTTACTTCTTTCAAAAACATTAAAAAAAATTACAAGTTAAAATTATAAGTTAAAATACTTATTTAATACTTATTTCATTATAATATACATGACATTTAAAGTAATGTTTAATTAGGATCACATTGTGAATTAATGAAAAATGAAACTGAATTTAATAATTGGAGATTGAGGAATTAATATAAAACTGAATTAATTAAAATTATTTAATTACTCATGAGTGACTGTGCTTGTTTCATTTGTAACCCCTATAATCCACACACTAAAATGTCGTTTGATCAAATAAAAGCAAAAATGGGCCAGCATCAGGCAGCACAGCCAGTTTTTAGCACTCCAACACTGCCGGCTTGACACTTAATATATCATAATACCATCACCAGGGGCTTCCTTAATCATTTGGATTGGTTGTGTATGTGTGTGTACGAGTGTGTTATCAGAGAGACTAACTGCGTTGAGCAGGCTGCTGTAGCAGAAAGCTCATTAATGTTTCAGAGACCCTGGGGCAGATCAGCTGCATATTAACTAGGTCAGTGTTACACAACGACTGGACCCCCCTTCCCTCGCTCTCTCTCTGCTGCCATGGAGATGCCAGCATCATTCTCCTGCCTGCATCCTTCACATCCATGACAACCGTGGAACTGGGCTGCTCTAAACCTCGCCTGATGCTTTCAAAGTGAAAGACTTCGATGTTTTCCTAAAGGGGGAAGAATACATGAAAGATCTGGTTTCTAAGCAACTGATGCTGTGCAAACCTTCACTTGCATCATACTTTACTGACTTAAATCACACAACACTCTATATTTTTGGTATGCAATGTATGCTAATTGGTGACTGATTTGGGGTTTTTATAGAACAGTATATTCCAGTCCCTTAATCTGATTGGCTGAGCAGCGCTACTGGAGTGAGACTTTGTACTGCTTGTGTATTTGTCCATTCCAGACTTAAGTTTCCTTTTTGAAATAATGTCAAATTAAAAGTTTTACTTTAAAGCACATATGAAATCATAATGTTTTAGCAATCTTTTGTTGTTGTTACTTAAACACGTACACTTATTTTGATGTGTTGACTAATATACTAAAGCACATGTAAAGTACATGATTATAATATTATAACTGTAATGTGTTATTAAGTATTACATTTAAAGTTAATATTTTAAATGTAGTAAATTGCAAATTCGTCGTTACAAATGTTTAATTACATTTTAATAAATTAGATTTTAATACATGACACAAGTTTCTATAATATTGACATTAACATATATTTTAGTTTACCATAAATGTTTGTCAGTACATTCAACAGTACACTTTAACCATACTTCAATAGAAGTAATTATGAAATTATATATAAAGTTGTACTTGGTTTAGAAATAATTTTTACTCAGAAATTGCTTAATTACAAAGAAACGGCAACACTCTGAATTGCATATTAAATTTTTAAGTAGAATGACTGAAATTTTATTTTATTGTAAATTATACTAGAATAATCTTTGTTCAATTTATACCTTCAAAAAATATTACATTGTACTTAAGTGGGTCAAAAAACACTCTAAAGTTCAGCTAGCTGCACTTAATATAAATTTGAAAAAATAACTGTAATAAATGTTATAGCTACATAATACATATAATACATGTAATTATTCTAATATAATTTCCATAATTACTTTTTTTATTATTATTTTTAAAAGTATGCAATAGTATGCTACAAGTGACGGTAAAGGGACAATGTCAGTATTCATTTACAAATGTTAAAATTTATAAACAGGGAATATAATCCCATTCAAGAGCCAATGTGGTAAAATGAAGTGCTAATAATGGAGATGTAGAACTGACGATTTAGCTCCCATACTAGTTAAATCAGTCCTGTAAGATTAAAATAATATAATCCTCTCCTATAGGAAATGTCCATAAAAATTTTGTACATCACAAATGTAATTTTAAATGTGTAGATGCACCTTAACTTGGGCAATATGGGAAGCTAATCTCTACACTGTAAAAAAAAAAAAAATCTGTGACATTTACGGTAAAATACCGGCAGCTGTGGTTGCCAGAACTTCACCATAAAAAAATATGGTAGCAACATTTTAGCTTGAGATCGGCCTTTTTAGAGACCGCCGATCAATCATCCCAACGTGATTATCGGCTGATAGTGATCGGTAGCCGATCAATCGGTGCACCCCTAATTGTAAATGCTATAGATATGTATTATAACTCAAAATCTGTGACATTTACGGTAAAATACCGGCAGCTGTGGTTGCCAGAACTTCACCGTAAAAAATATGGTAGCAACATTTTAGGTTTTACAGACTTAACTTAAATTCACAATAAAATACCGTATTTCATTAACTGATGTAATATTAATAAACCAACATATTGAAGTACTAATATCTGTTTTGATCCATTGTAATGCACTGATAACCACCAAAAACTGGTGGTGATGAGAAAGTCACATGATGAACCAAAGCTCATCACAAAACAGCTTTTCTACGAGCTGAGGAGGGTGATACTTTTATATAGAAGGTACACAGTCTCATTCACACAAACACTTAACACCATCATGGTAACACACATGATACTGAAATAATGCAATAACATTAATTTAACAACATTAGATGTAAGATAAAACCCTAATGTACACAACTGATAAGAAAAAACTAAGAAGAAACAGTTATTTCAACAAAAAAACATCAAATATGAAGTGTCATGCAGGGAATTCTGGGAGTGTCAATTTACGTGTTTTTACTGTAAAGTATACAATGACTTTTTCTTTTTCACTTCCAAAAACCGTTTTTTAACCGTATTTTACTGTATAATTACATTAAATGTAATTGCATTTATTCACCGTATATAGTATGGAAACTTACTGAAAAAAATCACAATAATTTTTTACAGTGTACTGAAGAACAAAAAAACATTGCATGTTCGGTTTTGATACGGCCATTAGGATATGCTAATATAAGAATTCATAATACGCACTGGATTCATATTGGCTGTTATAATTTCCCTGAGGAGCTCTAGAATAACGGCCTTAGCAGACCAGTGATTCCACACACAAAACTCTAACCTTCCAAGTACAGTATAATAAGAATTATTATTAGAAGCTTCATTTCAAAGATCACACAACATCAAAGCTGTATTACTGATTTAAAATATGGTGGTCCCCCTGAATAGTTAGACATCAACTATTTCTCCAGTGTGACAATATATGAGAGCGAATGCTTGGGTGCTTTTTGAGAAGGTATAAAACAGATCATAAAATATGACCTTCATAGTGTGAGGCTGAAGCATCTGATATGCTGCAGTTCACATATTGCTTCATTTTCTCAACTGTAGCCAACAAAACTGTACATTCGTCTTGAAAGATATGTTAAAATTCAGGCTTAATTCGCGCCCTTGTCCCAAAACAAAGCCAGGATCACAACAATCTGCTCCCTGCAGGGAATGTAATTTAATTAGGCTCAAACTGGCAATACTCAGCATGCCTCACTGTAAACCTACTAAACAATTAAAGCACAGGAGAAATATGCCAACGGGAAACTAATACGTCCTCAAGGTTTTGAGTGAGAGAAACAATGCAGGATTGAGCTAATCTGCCTGATTATCTGTTTACTTATATACTTTAGGGAGAAAATTAGCTAAATCTGACTAAAATCTTCCTCTGAGGAGAACATTCTCAAAGCTAAAAATGATTAATAAATAAAGCAAATGTTATTTTTAATCTAAACAATTTTGAAAGATAGAGATCAAGTTAGTGTGTAATAATTATAATTAGATTTATCGTGTAGAAAGTATTTTAGTCCATGTTTCTGTTTTAAAAGGACAATGGACATATAAATGACATAAATTGTTAAAGAAATAGTGAAAACTGATTCATAATTTAAGGCTTAAAAATAATTATTTCAGAGCTGCTGGAAGAAATGGAAGTTGCATGAAAATTTTTAAGAAAATACCAGCCAAAAACTGTAATTTCATACATATTTGTAAATGGCTGAGCAGATACCCTATGTAGTACCTTTTTTGTAATATATAAATTATATACAAGAAAGAAGTACTTCCATTAAACAAGGATGCATTAAATTGATCAAAAGTGACAGTAAAGACATTTATAACATTACAGAAGATTTCTAATTCTGTTCTTTCGATCTTTCTATTTATGAAAAAAAAATAATATATATATCCTAAAAATAACAATAAGAAATGTTTCTGTTGTTTTTGTTGTCTACTTTTGTAAATCTGCAAACTGTCCAAACAAGTTAACTCCTATAGCAAGACACATAAGAACGTCTAGGTTACTTGTGTAACCCTCGTTCCCTGAAGGAGGGAACGGAGACAGTCGTGACTGACGAATTGGGATCTCGCCCGAGAGCCCAATCACCTTCGAGTGTAAACTAAACAAGCCAATGACAGTTGGCAAACGCACATCAGTTTTTCGCTGAGGAGCCGAGACTACGTGCCCCGGCCGTACAGCGGTGGTACAGCAACTGTGGCGACGGAACGTAACGTCTCCGGTCATGTTCCCGCACTGAGAACATGACTCATCCATGAGCGCTGCTTCAGCGTGCTGTAAGCCCAGGCACGAGATGCAGCGATCATGACCATCACATGCAGCCAGGAAGCGACCGCATCACACTCTTCACACTGCAGCCCAGTGTAACCCGGCATACAGTCACACTGACCCGTCTCATGGTCACACTCGTCAGGGTCCGACACTCCTTCACCACTGCAGTTACACACCAGCTCTTCAGAGGAAACACACACAAAGGATTGCTTATGAATTTTTGATCATCAAATCAAATATTGATATAAAGCACCAACAAAGTCATCCTGTATATCTGCTCTCCCTAATATCTTTATGTTTAAGACAGCGTTTCTAAGCCATTATTGTTTGTTTATTTATTTATTTTTATTTTTTTGTCTTACAAAACCCCACAGGCTATTTAGTATGGATCAAGAATCCCTTAATTAACATCAAACCAGTAATGTGATCAGATTTTGACATAACTTAATAATTTAACATTATTAAAGACACATATAATAAATAACAAGAAGTACTCGCAAACTTGCACATATATTGCAACGAATGTCATTCACACAAAAATTCACTTTTTTTTTTTTTACATTTGATTTCCTTTACAAATCTATCATTGCACATTAAAAGAAGCAGTTAAAAATATTAGATAATTCATGTTTCTTTATTTTTTATCTTTTTGTTCTGTTTTATACAATGCACTCTCATGGCAATTCGTAAAAAAATGTGAAGTTTACTGTAAAAAAAAAAACATGCAGGCAGCTGCGATTGCCATAATTTTACCATAAAAATATAAAGCAGTAATATTTTAGGATTTACAGATTGAACTTAAATTTACAGTTAAGAAAAAAGACCAAACTAAGAATAAGAGAATAAGAATAAACATCAAATGCACAGTGTCCACAAGGAATTCTGGGAATGCAAATTAACTTCTTTTTTTTTCAGTAGAATTTTTAAATGGACTTGTTCACTTTCATAAACTGTATACAGTAAAAACTGTCATTTTTACTGTAAATATTAAGTGAACTTACCATTAAAGTTTTTTTTTTTTTTTACCATAGCGTTTTACAGTCTTTACAGTTAAACTTATGATCTTTTTTACAGTTGTTAATCATTTCTACAGTTTCTAGGGTCAGATTGGTTTTATACAGTGGAAGAAAAAAATTAACTTCATGCAAAAACATCTAACTTAATTGATTTTAAACTTAATTTAAACCTATAATTTAATGTCAAAAATAGTTTTAATTATCAGTGAACCAACCTAATTATATTACGTTACAACAACAAAACTAAATGTAAGAGTTGAAATAGCTCTGTACTGCTACTGTTTTTTACAACGTGGGTTTAACAAAGCAAAAACTTTCCAAGTGGCCCTTTGGGATAAACATACCCCATACTAATGGAGAAATCCATGAGAAACTGTCACCTGTACGTTCAAACATAAAGTCTTGTTAATGCAGCACTGCTGCTCTGTAGTACATTTCTCCTTCAAGTTCAAGTCTGCTACATATCACACTACTCCATCTTGCTGATCTCTGCCGGCTGTAATAAATGACTCCCTGCAGCCTGATTCTGATAGCTCATTAAGTTGATATTAGACTGCAGATCTTTAGTATGCAGGAGAGGATGTAGGTCCATGGAGAAAAAACACAAACTCTAAAGGCAAATCAGGCAAATTCCGGCTGCTGGGAACAACTGCAGCTTGTGTAATTCCAAATCTATATCAACTGACGTTAAATCAAAGATGATTTTCCAGTTGCTGCATTTAAAAAAATCGATCTGAATTATTTGGCTCAGAATTATTGAGTTGACCAGCAACATCTGGATATGGAGAGAGACCAGCTGCAATTAGATCTAGAATGGAATATAGTTGGTTGTATATGTTCTTTTCTTTTATTTATTTACATGCAACTGATAGAGACAGTAGAAAGAGCCAGATTTGAATCTGCCTTTCTCACATGAACACCACAGCATGTGCTAACTGCTAGGCTACAGCTCCTCTATGTTTGCTCATGATCAAATGCGTTTCATCTCAAAAAGCAAAGTGGCCTATATTTATAAAAATGTAAATCTGAAAGAGCGCATTTGAATCCATCTTTCATGTAATACATGTTTTTATTCATCAGCCTTTGTTCATGCACATGTCCCAGAAGCAACCTCTTATCCCTTAGAGAGGACGGCTTTTCCCCTTTGGTGGGTCATTTAGTTCAAGGGAGAGAAATCAAAGCCACGAGAAGTGTTGAAGGAATAGTTAATCCAAAAATGTAAATTCTGTCATCATTTACGCACCGTCATGTTGTTCCAAAGCCTGACTTCGTTCAAAGCCTGAATTTTAGTCAATCTTTTATATACAATTAGTTCCCATGGATACAAAGGCTTCAAAAATGAAGAAAAAAACTGCATAAAAATTGTATTCATACAACTCATGCACTATATCTTCTGAAGATATTTGACAGGCTTTATGTGAGGAACAGACTGAAATTTAAGCTGTTGTTTGATGGTAATCCAGTGAGCTGTAACCGGATCACTGAATGAACCCAAGTGAACTTGAGAATCGGATCAGTCTGATTGATGAGCAAATCATTCAGACTGATTCAGTGAACTGGATCCACTGATTCATTGAAAAGATCCAAATCAAAAAGAGTAATTTGTTCTTGTGTATGTTGACATAATTTTCTTTTCTTTTGGATCATAAAATGTTCTAATCATTATCGCAATTCCCTTACAAGCATCATTGACCTCCCTGCAATATACTGTATACTACTGTTCAGAAGTTTGGGGTCAGTATGTTTTTTTTTTGTTTTTAGGAAATTAATTATTTTATTTATGAGTATGCATTAAATTGATGCTGTCCTTTTTAACGTTATATTCATCAAAGAATCCTGAAAACAAAAATGTAGCATGGTTTTTACAAAAAAAAATTAAAAAGCACAACTGTTCTGGGTCTTTTTTTTAAAAGAAATTAATGTTTAAATTAATGCAAGAATGTATTAAATTGATCAAAATAATAATAAAAACGCTTACAATTTTACAAAATATGTCTATTGCATTGGTGAGAACGAGAGAACACTGATAGTGGTAGTGTATAATATAACAACCGAATAATCAATGCACTCAGTCACCTCTATTAACAAACACAGCCAATGTAATGTTACCAATAACATTAACAATGGCATGTTCAACGTGCAGTTTAATGCATATGACTGAAGATTCAGATCAATAAACTCCATTAAGAGCCAGACGTCTTTCTGTGAATCTCTCATGCCTTCATCCCCAAGAACCCATTTCACCAGATTTACTGCACAATAGGTCACCCAGAAGGGCACATGCCGAAAGGGAAAAACACCATTTGTATGCTGGGACAGAAACACCTTCTACCACACGGAGCTGTGGAGTGTGTTCTTAAACACCTTCTGCTCCTGAGGGCGGCTGTGGAGGGCGCGGATAAGAAGCTTACACATCCCAGTCTGACAGATTATACATACATCCATGTAAATGAGGCTGCCGACCAGACTCATCGCTATATGACAATATTAGGAAAATATTAAGTATGACAGAGAGATTACAACTGAACCAGATGAGAGGATTAACATTTGTGATGTGATGTGGCTTCACTGACCTCAGGCGTGATGTGGTAATGAACTGTCAGCAAATAAACACAGGAACTAAATGATTTGTTTATTTTGAAGTAGGGTGCCACTGTATATTAGGGGATGTTCAGTGTTGGATATGAAGCTAAAAGACAAGATGGACACTGAGTGTCAGACAACAAAAGAAATTATTTGACAAAGGTGTCTCGGTGTGAAAGAGTGAGTCTGTAGACACATCTTTCAGACAAACATTTTCTTCTGTCCATTAGCTCCAGTGGAAACGGCACTCATCCCACTCCAGCATACAGACTCGAGTGCAGGGAGTAAAGAGAGTTCACTGGGCCATCTAATGCACAGCTGTTATGATCTAGGTCAAAGTTGCACACCTCTAAAATCATAAAGGATTTATCTTTTTCCATTACAATATTTGAGATGTGCAGTCAGATGCCCCTCTAGCTAAAGTCTTATTCATAAAAGGAAAGCTCTGACTACTGCAAATGCATCTGAATTAGTAAAAGAAACATGTAAACAGATGTCGTTTTGCTGTGAGCATGTAAGAAATACTGCTGCTGCACATATAACACATATGAATAACCCCAATAGAGCATACATAATATCACCACATAGCAGATCTATACAGGTGGAGCTGGGAAGGTGGAGGGTTTCTGAAGCAAGCTGCAACTGCTACGGCAAGCACTAGTCATATATTTGAATGTTGAGCAGCGAGCTCATTCGCTACCGATACAGGAGATAACCATTCAGCTGTGCCATGTGATCATGATGTCATTAGGTCAGATTGAGTTAGACCTATCGGACTGCGCCATCTAGAGTTTCATGCCAGAACTCTGTATATTTATATTCTGACATTCAAAAATTGCACAAGTCTAACAACAACAAAATGTCATCTAATTCAAATTCCAGTGCAACATTCAGTTTGCAAATGGATGTGGCCAATTCTTTTTAAAACTCATGAATGTAAAGAGAGTCAATTCTTAAATTCTGAATTTGCCCAACCCTGGTCTCTTCACAATAAAAAAAAAATGCCTTCTGGACATTATAGACACTTTTTTACAAGATGCCTGTATTATACTGAAGAATATCAATCTAAATGGAAGTATATTTCCATATAGTTGCTATTTTTGATTTCTAGCCCACTTTCTCTGGCCCTTAGGATGTTATCTAAAGGGCTCCCCTAACACTTCCTGTGTCCTAATAAAGGCAGGCTCAGACACAGTCCATGCTTTTCTGAGCACTGTCTCCCGATTATAACCTCAGCATCAGGAACAATGGCTGTGGAATGTCCAATCACAATGGCAGGGCACAGAAGGGTTAAACATCTGTAGCTGCTTGTTTGTTTTTTAGATATATGTTTTATTGTTTTTTTTTCAAGATAAACGAGTGCAAACATCTAAACCTATGCAGTGCAAAATCACTGGGGTCAGTGGCCCCTATGTCAGTGCACTGGTGATAACTGTTGGTTTTGTTATCTTGGGGATTTATCATTATTATAGAAAAGTAGGCCAAGTCTATAGATACTTCCATATGAACAATTGGTGCACCCAAACGACCATTTCATGTAAATGCAAGATTTATGTCGACCTCACTCTCATTAACAGTGTGACCTTGTTCTTTAACACATACACACAATGGATAATCTGTGGCCTTTATTTCCTACTAGCAACACATTAATTAAACCATTCTAACAGAAATAATCTCAGCTGGATATACCAGAAAAATGCTGGTTGATGATTTCCTTTAACTGACAGCCCACAGGTGGTGAATCTGTTTGTACTGATGGGGTAAAGTCAGGACAGATAAACAATGACTAGTTAGGACAAATACCCTGCAGCTCAATCAATGAAGGGCCTGTATGGGCACATTACAATACTTACAATACATTACAATCTGTAGACAGACACTAAGATAGACAGATAGATAGATAGATAGATAGATAGATAGATGACAGACAGACAGCTAGGCAGCTAGATAGATAGACAGACAGACAGAGGACAGACAGACAGATAGATAGATAGATAGATAGATAGATAGACAGACAGCTAGCTAGCTAGATAGATAGATAGATAGATAGATAGATACAGGTAGAGTGAGGGTATACGTGCTATTGATCATAACTCATCAATATATCATGTTGCATGGCTATGACTGCTAATGAAGTGATTGCTGAGAGGCAGACGGCGGACTGTAGGAATGATGTTTTTGGTACAGTACGAGATTAAAATGACAAGATCACGAAGCAGAAGGCAGGAAAGGCCTGATAATCGCATAACTGATTAGATAGGCTAAACAGCAACAATATTCTGATTTTAAATAGCATGTCTGTTGCCAGAAATGTGATTTCTACATTTCAGTATTCCGCTATTTCCCATTTTAACTCACCTTGAGAATTGTCAGAGGTTGTGCTAAAGTCGGGCACGACGCCCGATCTTTCCGCTTTATTATCAGACATCTGCGATTCTTTCATCTGTGTTTCAACAGAGCTGATCTTCCTCCGAGCAAATGCGGCCATGTAGCTGGGATTAGACAGAGATGGGGTGGTGGGCTCCGTTGTTGGTGGTTTAATGGTGGCTGCTGGTGCGGCGACATTTATCGGTTTTCTGGCGGACGCGATCGTGGGCGCTGGTGTTAATGCGACAATGCCGAGCCGGTACCCTGGAAACCCGTTCGCGCTCGTATTAGGATGCTCTTCGGCGATTGAACGAGATTTCCTTATTACTAAAGGCAGCGCATCGTAGGAATGAACCGCCTCGGATAACCCCATGCACACAAACACGATGAATGGGAAAGCCGGAGATGTAAACATCATTAAGGCAAGCCACCACATAATAATAATCTCAACGCTCCATGAAAACCTCCTCGAGACGGACTTCGCAAGGCCCCCGTCCTCCAATTTCCATCGGGTTATTCCAAACCAGGTGGTTTCCAAGCCGCCCCGATGTAGCCTACTCCACCATATCCGAGAGAGACCCCCTTTTTATCAATGGCTCTGAACCGACTGCAAGGTGTTTGATCCGCACCGACCTGTAGTAGTAGCGAAGCGCAATGGAGTGGTACACTCACTGGCCAATCAGAATGCAGGACGAGACAACCGCTGTGGTGAGATGTGTGTTTTTTCTCTGCGCTTGACAGACGGTGAGGCGTCTGATTGGTTAAATTCAGGCGCATCGAAACCTCGCTGGCTGGTTCTTGCAGTCAGGCGATCATTATAATATTTGTCCTCCAATTTCCATCGGGTTATTCCAAACCAGGTGGTTTCCAAGCCGCCCCGATGTAGCCTACTCCACCATATCCGAGAGAGACCCCCTTTTTCTCAATGGCTCTGAACCGACTGCAAGGTGTTTGATCCGCACCGACCTGTAGTAGTAGCGAAGCGCAATGGAGTGGTACACTCACTGGCCAATCAGAATGCAGGACGAGACAACCGCTGTGGTGAGATGTGTGTTTTTTCTCTGCGCTTGACAGACGGTGAGGCGTCTGATTGGTTAAATTCAGGCGCATCGAAACCTCGCTGGCTGGTTCATGCAGTCAGGCGATCATTATAATATTTTCATTTTATAGCCTATTGTTGAATCAACCGTGGATAAAAATAAGAAAACACGTTTTAAAATATTTAAGGCCTTTCAAAACAACAACATCATACAATGCTACTTCATTCTGCTTCTCTGTGAGCAATTAGTCATGTATTATTGCATCATAGGCGAACTAAAGGTAGTCTAACGGTATTTTTATATGCGCTACACTGAACAACGACTAGTTTAATAATTGTATTCTATTTTATTGTTATTTTTATATAAATAATTTGAATCTATATTTTGGTGTTTATGTTATTAAAAAAAATATATATATATATATATTTTTTGCATTTATTTGTATGTTTGTTTATTAATTTATTGTTGTTTGTGGTGGTATTTGGAGCTCTGGGTTGATTTTCTGCGGCATCAATTGCTGAGCACTGTCAGTATAGGTTATTATCATCAGCAGCACCATCTTCTGGTTGTGCAAAAGAATGAGGAACAATTTTGCAGATTTCCTGTGGTGGGATTGTGATACTGAGCCATCAATATTAGCAAGACTGTAAAATAGCTTTCAATAACAGAAACCTCTTCAAATTACAGTAATAGTTGCAATTTAATAATTGACTATGCATGTTTTTTTCTTTTGCATAAATGTTCTACCCTTCTCAATTTAACATTTGTGTATAAATACTGAAAATGTTTTGCTCTTTTATTTTAAAGATAATAAATAAATTAGTGAAATGGATTTGCTGCTACATGCAGTATCTAAAACCTGACAGAATGATTGCAATGTAAAAAACCATAAACAATTTAAAAAGAAAAAAAAAAAAATTGGTAAGATTGTATAGTCCTACAACAGAGCCTCTTTTACGCTTCACCCACATTCCTACTGTTTTGAGACCTCATCAAGGTAAAGGCCAACATCCATATGGACATCTCATGGATGTGTGGACGAGCACCTGGGGCTCGGGGCAGTGAGCTGTGACAACGTACAGGTGGAGACACAGAATAATGATAACCAGAAATTGCTTTTGATATGGGCAATATTTTGATATTCTTCTAAATGTTGTAAAAAATTAAAAAAAAAGGTAGATGACAAAACAAAAGGAGGCAGGTGGATACAGTACAGACAATGTAAATATTTATAGAAATAGCATTGTTACGGAATGTGTTGTAGGCTCTATCTATTTGATCCTTTTCTCCCTTTAAATTTTAGAGCAGTGGATGTATATTTAGCACTGACTAAGTTAGCCACATTAATATATAGGTCTTCAAAGTGATTCTCCAAACAAGTTATGAATGTGTAGGGGTGTACTTTTTCCCTTTATCAAAATTACTTTTAATTGTTTTTAGATGCTTTCAAGTTGTGGTTATTATAATAAACCAATTAAAAGAGTCCCAAATGGCATTGCAAATTATGCACAATGTTAACAGACATTGCCAAAGGACAGTGCTGTTTCTCAGAATACCGATGTGTAACATGCAGGTCTTGCCAACAAATGACAATATATGATGGCTATGTTGGAGGTGATTACACAACCCATATGAGAATCATCTTAAAGGGCATGTAGGCCTACTCAGTAGGACTGTGCATGGAGGCAACCATAAAGCGATAGTACACACAAAAAGAAACAAAATAGCAAGCTATTATTCAGGAGTTGCTTTTAAGTAGCCTAATTTTTGCGGGGAACAAATCCTTCCAACATTAGAATACATGCGAAAGTAAAATCTAATATCCAATCAGTAATTATTATTTTAATATCTTATAAATGTAAACACATTAATATGACAACATACATTTTAAAAATATTATGCGTCTAATTTATCAATGCGGTACTAATACTGTGACCATTTGTGAGTATGAACCTGTAGCCACGCCTGCATCCTGTTGTCGCCCAATCAGCGACGAGCACAATCGCCAACTTGTTCCTGGAACGTCATCAGGAATCTGGTGACTAAAGATTACGTGTGAAGTTAGTAGCCAGGTGCTAGCCGCGACAAAAACAACGCACACAGATGTAACGCCTGGAGAAATATTAGCGTTAAACGTGATTTCTATTACAATGAACCTCAGCTCTGTCAGAGTCTATGGAGTTGTTACGGTAGGTTTACGCTCGTCTGTTTTGTTGGTTTAGTAAAGGAGATGGACGAGAGCTAACATTAGCTAGCTGTGTTTACAAAAAAAATTCTGTTATTGCTCGGCTCTGGGCTTTTTATCGAGAGCTTTGGGGTGGATGTTGCCATACACTGTCAACATGTGATGGATGAATGGTTCTGCCATCAAGCTTACGTGTCATAATCAAATCTGACACTGGTTAGCTTACTACAATGTAGCATATCAAGCCATGTAAACATTGAGTCTCTTGGCACATTCAGTCTATTCTAAAACATAAAAACGCATAAGGATTTAGTTGATATTAGTATTTAATTTTACTGTATTGTCCATGTCTTGCTTAAAAACAACTCATCGGCTTTAAATAATCCTGAACTTGGGTATCAATAATGTAAGTGTAGTACTATTTTGATATGTCACCTCCACTAACTATATAAACAGGTACATATGTACACTAGATGTACTAAGCAGTTCACTCTTAGCATGCAGGTTGGCAGCACAGCAAACTCATTTCATTCAGAAAAGTATCTGGTGGTTAAAAGCCTTGTTTGATTGGATTAGTTTGACCACTAGATGTTAATGTAGTCCTAATGTTGTGATTTTCTCCACAGAGTCAAGGCAGCAGAGAGTAACACCAGAATGAGATCTGCTTACGCTGTGAATATAAGCCGTTCTGCTTTCCGAGGACCCTAAAGGGTCTCGTTGACAGTTGGGGAGACGTTCAAACCATTGCTTTACACACACAGCTATACGCTACATCTACACTACAGAGATGTTCGCAAAGTTGAAGAAGAAGCTGGCGGAGGAGGCCGCCACTGCCCCTCGATCAGGCCGCATCCCTCGCTCCATGAGCAAAGAGTCCATCACTTCTGTGGGCGCAGATTCTGGCGATGACTTTGTGAGTAGATCTTTCTCTGCTTTTGTGTAATTCTCAGTCTCCAGCTTCTTGCGATATCATATCTTCATGCAATATTGAGACCCATAAAGTTGTTGGGTCTGTTTTAAAATGTCTAGCTGGTGATATTACCAGGATATCTCGATCATAGTACGATGTTACTGCTTTCTTCATATTTAATGTATAGCCTACATTTTCAAACGTTAATGTATTGAGTGCTTTTATCTACTACACCAATTATTAGTGCATTTCACTATCATTCAAAAGTTTGGGGTTCGTAAGATTTTTGGTAAGATCAAGGATGCATTTATTTGTTTAAAATACAGCTAATTAAAATAAATGTTTTCTATTTTAATTTGTTAAAATATAATTTATTCCTGTGATGGCGAAGCTAAATATTCAGCATCCGCTGTACTGTTTATTCTTGGCTTATTTAGAGTTTGGATTATGGTCAAAAAGTAATAATTTGGTGTTCTATTCCTCTCAGGCTTGCACTGAATGGTGGTTAATCGTTTTAAAAAATGTTCTCAAAAATATTATCATGAAAAATGTTACTAAAATGTTATGAGAATTCACATTCACATCTAGGTATCAGTGAAGTTCCAGCTGACACATTTTGATAAGCAGACATAATAAATACTTCATTATTTCCTATTACAAAAGCAGAATGGCCCTGATAAATCAGCATAGTAATTATTCATGTTTCAAATGACTGGCATATTTACAGTATCCATTCTAGAGAAAGTTATATGACTGTGTACTGACTGTGTTGCAACAGTGCTGCACCTGAACAGCCTTGGTAGTATATGACGAAGTTTATTATTAGAGTGCTGTGCTATGCTTCTTGGGAAACCAGTGAAATCTAGTGAGTGCTAAATAATGTCACATGCTTCGACAAACCAGTGTAACCTGACACTCGTGTCCTCTAGCAATTAATGGCAAACACTCTCAGGGTTAGGTTCAGGTTATCTTTCGCCCTAAATAATTAACGCTGTAGGCTTGTTGGAGGATGAGAGCAGTATCTGTAACATGTCTAAATCAAAGCCACCCTTATATAGTAGATGTTTTACTGAGAGAAGCCAACCGTTTTGGACCCCAACGACAATGTAAATAAAAACGTATAATTCTGCATTTGTGCTGAAACTTTTAGGTATTCTTTTTTTAACCAAATAAATAAACATCTCCCTTTTGCATTCTGTAGTTCTTATAAAAGATGTGCAATTATACTTCTCTGATATTAGTGTTTTGTGTTTTTCTAATTAATTGGCATTGGTCAATATTGTGTATTTAATTGTTCATGCTCATTTCCACAGTTTTTACATTTAGACTGTCTTTGCTGTCATTTAATGCTCAAAGTGAATATTTACCTCATTGTTAAATAAAATCTTAAGACAATTTTTTTTTGTACTGTACATCATTTTTGCTTCCTAAAACTGTTGATTTTATTTTTAAACTCTTTATTTTTAATTAGTTTGATTTATTTTTTACTTATTAATATTAATTTAATTTTAATATTAGCAATTCTTCTAATATTCTTCTAATCCTATTAGTTATTGGCTATAACACTGGAATAACTAACACTAAAAAATACTATAAATAATACATAATCAGTATTAAATGATAAATAATACTAATCAGTATTAGCCAGATTTTTAATATTGATGCATTCCTAGATTTTTTTTTTTTCCTATGGTATATTTTAAAATAAATGTCTCCATCTCTGTCATTCACTCTTAGACATCTGATGGCAGCAGCTCCAGAGATGATGTTTCTTCTCAGATTCAGCGCAGAAACGATCAGATACGAAAACTGGAGGCCAAACTCTCAGGTATCGCCAACACAATGCAGTGAAGCTCATGTAAACACAACAAGAGAAAAAGACTGAAAGGAGGAAAAAGGTACGAAAGGCCAATGTGACGGCTTTACAAAACGTCAGTGGAAATCAATGAGAAAAGGAAAAACTAGAGACAGGCTGTTACGTGTACATGCTTCTCACCTGCCACTTCTACGTGCCGAGTCTATTTCAGTCTGTATTTGGACACCTCTAAACCCTTTACACCTTTGCCACAGTGTAAATGTATAAAGCACATGACATTTGACAGATTTGCCACAAAACAAGCCAGGAATGAATGCAAATGACTCCACTGTAACGGCCTGGAAAAATCCGCATAAATAATAGATTCCTGGCTCTCGCTATCAGCCTGCCATGGTATGCGATTACATAGCCTGATCTAGAAACTCCTTTAACCCTAAATGAGCAGTACTAGATAAGATGATTGCATAATTGACCTGATCAGGGATGATCTATTAGTGTAAAGGTCAAAGGTCGGTCGTTGTTCAGCCTCACAATCAGTCTGGTTTTCTCATCTCCGAAAATCATTCTGTTTTTCCCTCCCATTTGTTTATCTTCTCAATCATATTTATCCCTTTGTTTTCTCCCCCCTGTTTTGTCCCGTCTCCGTGATCCTCCCCCTCATCCTCCTCTGCCTCCCTCCGGTCGTGTTTTAGTGTGTGTCGGTATCCCATTCCCCAACCCTAGACTACGCTGAGCAGCTTCGGCTAATGCAGAAGACTAAGGAGAAGCTTGAGATTGCATTAGAGAAGTATCAGGATTGTACGTACCGTTCTTTTCGCCTCTTCCTTCTTTTGGCTTTCTCTCCTTTGCTCTGTTTTCCATTCGTTTGTTCAGTGCTTTTACACAAACCTCACACAATTCAAACATACATTTTTATAGACAAACAAGGTTGATTCTTGATCAGAAAGCAAAAAAATGAAGATAGTTAATTCGTTCATTGTCTTTAAATTGATTGTTTTATCACAAATGTCTTCAGGACTTAATATAAGTTAAGCTTTTTTATAATGTTGATTATCATCGAATATTATTTCTCCCCAGATGTTCAAAAAAGATGTTCATCTGCAATGTTCTCACTTCAAAAAGAACTATTTACACTATTAGTATTATTATTATTATTACAGTTTAATTATTATAATTATTTTTGTTACTCTAGCAGTACGTTTTGCTTTTTTAAAATAAATAAATAAAATGTAGATGAAGAGGCGTCTTTATATTATTTAAAAATATCCCACAAATGCTGCTGGTAGAGCTTGACTTGTGTTGAACCCGGAATATTTCTTTAACCTCTTTCTTTGGGAGTTTTCTACGCCTGGGAAATATGTGTCTGGGGCCATGGCTTCTGAGTTTTAGAGGTGAAATCTATAGAGCAAACACGCTGCTTTAAACAATTTTTGTGAGGGTGACATTTTTTTTTTTTTTTTTTTTTTGGAAATTGTAAATTGTGCCTGTAGCAACCTAATGTAAGATATTTAGCTAAGAAGTGTTATTAATCTCTAAAAGCTCAGATCCCATTTCTAGACATACCCAAAGTAAAAGGAAAAATAAACTGATTACAATCAACTAAAAAATACTTGTGTATATACTAACAATCTGTTTTACAGCTGTACTAACAAGGACATCTGGACATTACTGGCGATGGTTTTCTTTTTTCCAATAAAGTTTGATTAACGAAACTAACAAAAATAGCAAAATGAATATTTTATGTATTGATATGTTAGGTACTTTGTATGTTGGGTCTAACATTACCATCTGTGGTAACACCTAACCAGTAATTTCATGTTACATCTATCCGTTTTAAAGGAATAGTTCACCCAAAAATGAAAATCTGCTGAAAATGTACTCGGGCCATCCAAGATGTAGAAAAGTTAGTTTCTTCTTTGGAACAGATTTGGAGAAATTTAGCATTCCGTCACTTGCTCATCAATCCTCTCCAGTGAATAGGTGCCGTCAGAATGAGAGTCCAAACAGCTGATAAATGCAACACAATAATCAACAAGTAATCCACAGAAGAAAATGTGATTATGGACTGGTGTTTTAACCTGAAGCAATGGTTTAAAGTTAAAATGTCTTCTTAAGGATGGATTTGTTTCTTACAAACTTGCAGTTTTTTGTTTCACAAGATATTGTAGATTATAGTGATGTTTTTATAAACTGTTTGGACTCTCATTCTGACGGCACCCATTCACTGCAGAGGATCCATTGCAAGTGATGTAATGCTCTCCAAATCTATTCTGATGAACTCCTTTACATCTTGCATGGCCTAAAGGTACATACATTTTCAGTAAGTTTTCATTTTTGGGTGAACTATTCCTTTAAGGGTTATATTTTTTTTACTGAATTAATATTTAATGTACTTTAATAAAAAATATAAGCTGCACATTTCTGCTTTTAAACCCTCCAAATCTCTTTCCTGCTAAACTGCCAATTCAAGTATACTTAATGTAAACATGTTTGTTGCTAGTTTGCACATGCTGAGGAACATATTTAAATTATCATCTCATCTGTGAAAACTAAACATGCAGCATAGATGCAGCCTATAGATATTATGCTGAAAATGATCTGGAATATGTCTTTAAGAAGGAAATCAGAAAGATTAAAGCAGAAACCGGAAAGATTAAATCTTTTGTCTTATTTCTGTGTTCAATCAGCATCCATGCGCAAACTTCAGGACCAGAATGAAGCTTTCCAGACCAACCGAGCCAAGATGGCAGAAGGCATGGCCTTAGCATTAGAGAAGAAGGACCAGGAGTGGATAGAAAAGCTAGCTACTCTGGAGCAGGTAAAGATCCTTTGTAACATATTGGATAAAGATTTTAGGAAGGACTGTCGAGCCTGACTAGTCACTTTCAGTTTAAAAGCATGCGATAAATGATTATTTCAAACATCAGTGTTAATAACCTGTTTTCTAATTGTTTTGTCTTCTTTCTCTCGAACAGGATAAGTTGTCACTGGCAGCTCGGCTAGATGAGATGACGGAGCAGAGTTTAAGTCTGTTCCAGAAGAGAGATGACCTGGATGAGCTGGAGGGCTTTCAGCAGCAGGAACTGGCCAAAGTCAAACACATGGTCGGCACAGTGTATTCTTTTATAAGTTCTTTATAGCAAGAGTAGCATTAAAACAGACTTTAAAAAATTACACACGTCACCTTCCTTCACATTCCTGCACTCAACAATATTTTTTACACTGATGCATATCTAAGTTAAAGGAATATCTAATCTAACACCCAGAAGTGTCAGAAAACACAGACTCATATACACTGCAGAATAGACAAGAAGTTCCATCTTATTCCCAAAATTGTTTAAGAGACCGGATCATAAATTTGTCCTGCAGCTGCTGAGGCGAGAGGAACAGCTAAGTCAGCGGGAGAAAGAGCTCAAACTGAGAGGAGAGGAGCTGAACACAGCAAGACTGACCCTGAGCCAAACCCAAGACAAGCTGTATGAGCTGGCAGAGGAACACGAGGAGATGTGCAGGGTCAACTCACAGCTACAGGCCCAGAGGTGTGTAAAGAAATACAGAAGAACTTGACTTCCATAAAGGAATAGTTCACACCGTGATTCATTCCTACTGCAAAATATCTGGATGGAATGGGATGGAAATGTTTCAAAGGCTGTTGAGACATTCATTAAATATTTAACCACTTTGGCTTTGAAGGAATTCTTCCTTCTAAAGAAGTTTCTTTCAGAAAACATAATAATGTCTAAAGGATGAGAATCAAATCTCCAGTTTGTCCACCTGTGTCTTTCAGGGATGAGTTGTTGAGTGAGAGAACAGAGGCTGAGAGGAAGGTTGTGGCTCTGGAGAAGAGAGAGCAGGAGTTACAGCAGCTGATCCAGCAGGTGTCAGAGGACTTCCAGAAGGTGAGCACTTGGCAACCTTCAGCTCATCAGTACAGATGACACTCAGAAGCCAAGAGGGTCACTTTTGAGAACAGAGCCACACCTCCCTTCAAAGTGTTTTCAGCCCACCTTGCACTTTATCATTTCCTTCACTTTTATATATATATATATATATATATAATATATATATATATATATTGTATTTATTCATTTATAACAGTGTTATAACATTGCTCATGATTTAATTAATGGAGAGTTCTTGGCTTGTTTTATTAAACCCAAGTAATATATTGTTTCCAATATTTCCATGTTATTATTTTTAATTGTTTTGTTGCAATATGTGTGCAATAACATGTTAGGTTGTCTGTGGTTTGCAGTTGCAGTTGACTGGAAAATTTGCTATTGTGAAATTCTAGACTAATACCCAAGAAAAAAGCTTAAATTCATAACTTTAGCTCAATCTGTTATATTTAAACATTTAAACCCTTCCTTTCATAAATTGCCCCTGAAGTAACCATACACTCCTGAGGAAAACAGTCAAGATCTGTTTAAAGAATATGGAATATGTTTTGGAATACGTTTTGCTTGAATTGCATGATAAAAATCATTTCCACATTGTTTCTGTATTGTTTCTTCTTTGTTTTCCAGGCACAAAACAATGCAAAGGCACTAGAGAAATCAATAGAGCAGCTCCAGTCTGAACACAATAAGCTGAAGCTACAGCACGAGCAGCACAAGAACAAGGTCTGATTGACTCAACAAAGAATCCATTGATACTAAAGCCTTCACTCGCATTTGCAAGTGAAAATTACTGTCTGCAAATGTGCTAAATTATGCAGACACACACGTGAGTGGCATCTAATCGAAACCTGTAGGCTATATAATTACATTAAAATAAACGCTTCCTAATTATTAGGACCTACAAAATCTATCTATATATGCAAATTACATTTGTCTGTTTTCTAAAGCTTTTCATTTTATCCCCAAAACAAAATCAAGACTTTGTAAAAGAGCATAATAGGACCCCTTTAAGTGATTTTTAATAATTTTGACCATGCATCTTAAGATACTCACTGCACTGCATCTAAAATGCAATACCATTTCATTATCACATTGTTACAACTCTTCATACCTTACTGTGATTGGTCAGGTTGCAGTGACCGAGGAGGAGAGAGAGCGTCTATTGGCTGATCTGCAGGAGAAGGCCACCTCCTTAGAGAGGAGACTAGATGCGAACCTCTCTCAGGATGAGCACCTACGGGAACTACTCAAGGAGGTCAGAGGACACTCACATATACCGCTTATCGTCTTACTGCAGTTTCAGTCATCTAATATCTGAATGCTATGTTTGTGTGTGTGTGTGTGTGTGTGTGTGTGTGTGTGTGTAGAAGTCTTCATTACAGCAGAGGTTAGAGGAGGCCAGAGGAGAGTTACTGGAGGAGAGAACAAATCACACCACTGCGGTCAGTTCACTGGAGGCCCAGGTAAACCCCAGCATCTAAGCTCATACTGCTCTACATAATGTTTTTACAATTGTGATTTCCAGGAAAAGTCATGAAAATAAATGACATGTTTAAAAAATATATATTTGTATAGTCAAATATGGAAAATGTAAAAGTATTTTGTTGACACAATCATGTAGCATGTATGCAAAAATACAGCAAAAATAGTAATATTGTGAAATATTCTATTGTAAAATAACTGTTTTATATTTAATTATATATTTGTGACCCTGCACCACAAAACCAGTCTTAAGTCACTGGTTTTTTGCACCCTCAGGTTCCAGATATTCAAATAGTTGTATCTCGGCCAAATATTCTATCATCATATCAATGTCATATCATAACAAACCATCAATGGAAAGCTTATTTATTCAGCTTTGAGATGGTGTATAAATCTCAATTTCCAAAAATTGACCCTTATGACTGGTTTTGTGGTCCAGGGTCACATTTTAGAATGTAATTTATTCCTGTGATGCAAGACTGATTTGACACTTTTGATCAATTTAATGTGTCCTTACTCAAAAGTGTCAATTCTTAAAAAAAAATTTTTTTTAAAATAATAATACTGAACCCAAACTTTTCAATTGTAGTGTAAAATGTATTTAAAGAATGTTCTAAAGGCATTTTAAAAAATACAAAATTTAATCATGAATCAAATCAGATTTCATTGTGAATTGAGACAGATTGAACTGAATTTGCAAAAACCCTTTTGAATTGAATTGTCATGCCTAGAGCTGATCCGTGCTGGTCGCTGAGGAAATACATCAACTTGGCGCTGTAGATCGCCGGATCGGCTTTCACCGTGGACGAAGCATACACGCTTGAGGTATTCGGCCAATCACAATGCACTGGATAGCTGGCCAATCAGAGCACACCTCGCTTTTCAGACCGATGAGCTTTGTAAAAATCAACGCGTTTCAGAAAGGCGGGGCATAGAGGAGAAACAATAATGTACAGTATGTTGAAAAAATAAAAATTTTTGAACCTTAAACCACATAAACACATTGCATTACACCAAATACACAACATAATGTTCTTTTTAGCAACATCATATGACCCCTTTAATCTTATCGTTTTGAAATATTCACACCCCTAATACTGCACTCTGCTCTACTATACTGAGTTATACACTATGTTGTTCTTTACACCTTTTGTACTGTAATAACTTTAATTCAATGACAACATTTCTGTTTCTCATTTGTTTCCAGATCTCTCGGCAGAACGCCAACATCACAGATCTGCAGACTCTGGTCAAGCACAAAGACGATTCATCCAAAGCTTACAGAGAGAGGACAGATGCACAGGTGAGTTAACCCACAGTTAACCCACACGTCATGTGACTGTGGCTGAATTAGCTAAATGATGTGTGTGTTGTGTCAGATATCAGATCTGGAGCAGAGGCTGGCTGACTGCACTGAGACGATGAAGAGTCTGCAACAGCAACTTGAAGACAGTGAAACGCATGCAGAAAAGCTGGTGCGTGCTGTCGGTCGAAGTCACCAAACGTCTCAATAGCTGCCTCAGTTTGGGTTTGTCACAGACAGTTTTTGCTGAAATGTCGCCCCCTTCTGTCAGATATCAGTCATACCTACTGGGACGCTAGCATTAGACGAGGAAAAGAACTTATGGGGTTTAGAGTTATTAAACAGTTGGTTTTTAGGAAACTCAGCGACTGGTTAACTCCTTTTAGTTTTGCCTTCGAGTGTTGACCTCTAACCTTTGGTCCCACAGCAGGCAGAGTGGGCAGAGGAGAGAGAGAGACTACAGCAGCAGGTCTCGACACAGAGACAGAGAGGCTTGGAAAAAACAGCCAGACTGGAGGAGGAACTTCTTACTCTACAGAGACAGAGAGAAACGGAGGCAAGCAAGCATCAGGACAACCTGGTGTGTGAAACATCACTGGTCTTTCTTTAATTATTTATTCAGTTAACATAGGGACGTTATTAAAAGTTATCTGATGCTTGTCTCTTTTTCTCAAGCGGTTACTGGAGGAGGAAAAAGCCTCACTGTTGAAGAGCAAAGCTGAGGTGGACAGCACTGTAAAGAGACTGACAGCAGAACTAGAGCAGTCCAGAGTGAGAATCATCTGCCACTACTGATTCACTTCACAGATTCACTGTGACATACACTACCATTCAAAAGATTGGGGTTGATAAGATTTATGTTCACCAAGGCAGCATTTATTTAATCAAAAATAATATATTATTATGAAATATAATTACAGTTTAAAATAAGTGTTTTCTATTTTTATAAATGTAATTTCATTTAAAGTAGAATCTTTCAAAAAATGTATAGTTACATGATCCTTCAGAAATCATTCTAATATGCTGAGTTGTGCTGCTTAATACAGCATTTATTTGAAATAGAGACATTTTAAAATAAGTTTTTTCTCTCACTTTTGATCAATTTATTATGTCCTTGCTTAATAATTACATAATATAAAATATTCGTAAAAGTATTAATTTCTTTAGAACAAATTCTAACTGATCCCAAACATATGAAAGGTGTAGTGTAAGTTAAAAACAAAAGAAAGTTAAAGTAATATTATAAAACAGTCAAGCAAAATCCCTACTGGTTGATCATCCGAGCTTGTTATGTTGCTGACTATTATGACATTTATGTGACACATTTGTCGATGTTACAGGCGGAGTTGATCAGCAGACAGACGGTAAGCGTTGAAATTGCCAAAGCTCTGGAGGAAACCAGAAAACAGAGAGAAGAACTCCAACAACAGGTTAATTCACTGGCTTATTGGCTTATCAAACATGCATCCATTTTTCACATGCATTTTTCACTCGTAAAGCCATTTACCTGTGTTAGGAAATGTATGTTTTGCTTGACTTTGATAGGTCAGCAAAATGGCAAAGTCTCTTGAAAAGGCGGAAAATGAAGTGAGTCGTCTTTCTCAGAATTTAGGAGCAAAGGAGGAAGAACTAAACATGCTGAAGGAAGGTGAGGGACCAGTTGTGTTTTGGTAGCCCCTGTCCACCCATCAGAACCCTTAAAGGTGGGGTGTGTATTTTTTCAAAAACGTTTTAGAAGACTGACTCGGGCCGAGTACCAAAGCAAACTTGTAGCCAATCAGCAGTAAGGGGCGTGTCTTCTCGTGATGTGGAGGAGAGAGCGCTCAGTGCACAGGACGGACATTAGCCTAGCCGAGCCGAGCGACGACAGAAAGATAGAGATGGCGGATAAAAAACAAAAGAGGAAAATGTCTGCGGAACAAAATAAGGCTTACGATAAGGCAAGAAGTAAGATCCGTGTAAATATCGGATCAGCTTTCGAGCGCTGGAGAGAACTCAAGGAGAGGAAGGCCTGCGATCGGACGCCGAGGTTGCTTTGTTTCTTCTTGATATGTGAGTAACACCGTGTATACACCGGATGCGACAGTTACCGCGCCGCTCCGCAACAGCTAAAGTCTGTCTAGTACACTGGACGCGACAAAGCGACCACTGAAAATCATTAGAAATTTGTGTCAATACATCATAAATAGAACGCAGCAGCGGTTTTCTGTTGGGTAGGGGCGTGTTTGTTTTGGTGATTTGAAATATCAACACTGGCTACCAGAAGTCACTTACCCCACCTTTAAGAACTGGTTCAGACCAGGGCTATTATAGTTAAATTTTACAGGTTTAAGCCCCGTTTACACCAAGAACACTAACTATAAAGATAACGATATTAGCGTCCACACCAGCAGACAATATCGTCTGTTTATTCTAAGTGCAAGCTCGTCTGTCGCTTTAAATTCTCGAGCTCGTTATAGCAGGATGGATTCTGATTGGGTGTCAATGTTTTTATCATTCATCAACTGGAAAAATCGTTCTGAAAGCGATTCCAATGATATCGTTTATCTGTGCCTTTATCGTTATAGTTGTGGTGTGTACTCTGCTATTCTTTAATATTGAGAACGATTTTTAGAACTATATCTTTATCGTTATCTTTATCGTTATCGTCCTTGGTGTAAACGGGCCTTTATACTATTTCATCTATGTTGCTAAGGCAACATGACTTATTTTAATTTAGTTTAACTTGATGTACTAAAATAACTAAAATGAAAACTGAATATATAAAAATAAAAAACACTAAAAATGACAAAAACATGTAACAAAATTGCTAAAACTTTGAAATTATAATGAAAATGGAAAATATAAAAATAAAAACTGACTCAAAATGCAAAAAATACATAATTGTATCTCAATATCACTGGTTCAAACCCTTAGTAACCTTTATTTAAAAAACAATACTGTTTTGGTTATACATTTTATTGTTGTTTTAGATTTTAAATATACTTCAATGTTTTCATTTTTTTTCATGTGTTATTTTTGAGTCATTGAATAATTGTCTTTTATTGCAAAAAAACAAAAAGATATCTTAACATGGTTTTATATTACCAACCAAATCATATTTTTTTAAATAACATTTCTGATAATGATACAAAGATTCTCAAACCTTAAGAGAACACAAAACAGTTCATTTCATTTATATTTGGACATGTCCAAAAGTAGTTTTTCAGTGAGGTAAGTTGGATTTAGTAACTTATTTGACTTATTCATTTGATTCAGTGAAAGATTTGTTAAAATGATTTAATTTTATAAGCTGTGAGTCTTGAGCAGTGTATTAAAAAACCTACTTAGGAACTTCACTTCTTTGATAAATGGACTGCAGTCATGATTTTTTTTAGTTCTGCCTGCAAAGACAATACAACAGACAGATGTGTTAGGCACTGTAGATTAAATCCAGTGATGCAAAAAAACTTTCTGTGCTTCATAATGGTTGCAGTAAAAAGCTTCTGTTTCTTATTGTGTGTCAGAGCTGCAGGCGGCCCTTAGCAGTCTGTCTTCTCTCCAGGCTGAGTGCGAGTCTCGTCGTTTAGAGGCTGAGGAGCGAGAGAGAGAACACAACTCTCAGCTGACGTCACTACAGCAGGAAATCCTCACAAAAACACAACAACTCTCTACTTACCAGTCACGGGTCAGTGTGCACTTCATCTCAGCTGCCTGTTGCTGTTAGATACATTGTCTTACCTATTTGATGTTTTTGTATTGGCATATTTCATTGTGTGTAACAGGTGTCTGATCTTGAGGGTGAGCTGTTGAGTTTAACAGCACAGTCACATGATGAGTGTGATGGTGAGCAGAACGGGACGGTTACTGTAAGTGATCTTGACCAGTTACAAAATGTCAATAAAGACCTGGAGCAACAGCTAGCCGAAAAGAACAAGGTGAGAGCAAAGAAACCTCTGAAATGAAAGAACATAAGATTAACTCTTTCCCTGCCAAACACGGATGTTTCTGTTATTCATGAGACGACGCTTCCCTGCCAAACACGGAATTTTCTGTGTTTCTGTGTTTTCACTGTTATACACTCGGGGGCGCTATTACACATCTCCTGAATGAGTCTAGAAAGTGCTGATCAAAAACGCAGACCAGGAAGACGCAGAAACGAGCGTATGCATATGAAAAATAATATGATCATCAACAGTAACCGCATATAAATGAAAACTGCCTCATGTTACAGAGTGAAATGTCAATCCAGAAAGTGGTAAAGGCCTGTGCAAGCTTTGGGAATACTGATGGAAGCCATCTACTGCATCTTTGCTTTGATAATATTACTGAATATGATCCAGATGTAGTATTTGATAAAAATGCGATTTTCTCAGCTTTTTGCTCAAAATGTTCAAGTGTTGATAAAAAAAAAACAATGCTTGAAGCTAGAATAAAACAGATTTTTTTTTTTGAAAGTAGAGTCTGATCTTTATTTTGATGTATTGCATGTTCAGATATTCATACAACAAAAAATTCTGGGGGCCATCAAATTTTAGTGAAATTCAGCAAAAACGCTGGCAGTGGCTGGCAACTTTTTTCAAAAACGCTGGCGGGGAAAGAGTTAAAGAAGAGCAGAGATTTTAAAATTATGAACTTGAATTTAAATGTAAGAACATAATTAAATGGAGAACATATTTTTATATATACTCTTATAACTTCAGTTTTTACTTATTTTACTTTTATAATTATGGAGAACATATTTTACAAGAATAAATTATTTCAAATAATTACATCAATCATTTGTATGGAGAAGGTTTTTATGGGCTTTAAAATCCAATAAGAATGTGACAAACATTTTCTCTTAATAAATGTGTCTAGTTTTATTTTGCACTGTTCATTTGTACGTATTATTGTACATTTCAAATTTTACAAATAAAATTATAAATTTTTAACAACTTTCATTACAAATGTAACAGTATTTTCTGCAAAAAATTTGCTAACATAACCAATCCTGCACTTGATGCAAAAAAATAAATAAATTATTTACAAATTATTTCAAGTCACCCTACATTATTTGAATTATAATGTGAAAACTGTATATTCTGTTGCACCTGACATTATGGAAGTAAATATGTTTTTTAGTATCAGAGTAGATTGCTTTGAATATTTAAAATTTTATTTTTTAAATACAAATATATATATATATATATATATATATATTTGTATTGTATTTATTTATTTATTTATTTATTTATTTTTGTCAGACAATAAAGCAGCTACAGCAGAGGCTTGCAGAACTGAAGAGGACATTACAGAAAGAGCTGGTGAGTGTGTTTATTCAGAAGCATTATGTCAGTGTATGCAACACAGTCCACGTCAGCTGTCAGTAAACATTTCCTCGCAATGTGTTTATGCAACAGAAACTGAAGCCAGATCCTGACTCTGAGACAAAGGAGAGACTCCAGGAAAGCAGGCAGGAGAAATCAACCGATAAGACGATCTCAGAGACACCGATGCCCGCCACAGCTCCAACCCCAGCTTCAGGACTCCCTCAAACTTCAGGCCCGCCTCCCATCACCTCCAACACCACAGTCACCAACAGTTCAGACCTCACAGACACAAGAGAGATCAACTTTGAGTACCTCAAACACGTGGTGCTGAAGTTCATGTCATCCAGAGAGGCAGAGGTGAGGGCTCGATCTGTATCTGACCGGTTTGCTACAGCGGACTGATGTGATTAGTGTTTCTTGCTAACGTGTCACTATTACTGCTGTTCATTCTTGGAGTTAGGGATTAGAACAAACTCCTAAAAATAAGTAACCTTTAGTTTGTAACCTGGCAGACGATTAAGTGGCAAAGTAAAAACATATACTACAGTTCTCAAAGAAATAAAAAGGAATAGTTCACCCAGAAATTAAAATGTACTCATTCTTGGGCCATCCAAGATGTAGACGAGTTTTTTTTTTTTCAGCTGCAGTGAATGGGTGCCGTCAGAATGAGAGTCCAAACAGCTGATAAATCATCATAATCATTAAGTAAATATGATTTATAGACTGGTATTTTGGCCAGAAGCGATGGTTTACAGTTAAATTGCCTTAATGATGGATCTGTTTCTTACAAACCAGCAGCTTTTCCAGGGTTATACGTTTACTTTTCTTTTTAGAAGCGTTTTGAATGGTCTCTTAACATTCTGAAACAAGTAGTAACATTTAAAGCCTAATTTTAGAATGCTCCTAATTAAAAAAAAAAAAAAAAAAAAAAGCAGAGTCAAAAATTTCAGGAGCTCCTTCTAATCCATAATCAAAAATTCTGATCAAAAGTTAGCCTTCCCATTACGAGGTGATATCTTTTTTTTTTTTTCTTTCTTTTTTTTTACCTTTGTAATGGCATTTTTCTAACTTTATTAAGTATCATCTTTTATGTGAAATTCAAAAATTGTATAAGCTTTTTCATAATGTCTCATTAAAACAATAGACTAGGAAGAATAAGTTACCAATCAAATGACCTGGGGGAAGCGGCCTGGAAGCTGTGGGGGTGGCGTGTGGAGGCTGGCGGCGTTCTGGACCGGGGGACCTTTGGACGGGTCATACTGTTGCTGGTTCTGTTTCTGCCCACCAATCTGGACCGTTTGTGGAGTCGGGGGCATGCCTCCTGTTATGGGGGACAAGATGAAGGAAACGGAACAGAGAGAGGAAAGAGAAAGATAGAGGGAAATGGAGAGCAAAGAAGAGTTCCATAGAAGGAGAAAATGAAGAATTGGAAACACAATATATTGTCTTAGCTCATGTCTGTCTACAGAGACCACCAGACTGCATTCTCTGTATAAAAAAACAAATATATATATATATATATTTATAAGCTTTTTAAAATTTCGAATTAAAACAATAGAATAAGAACATGTAGTATAAGTAAATAAAATGAAATCTGTATTAACATTTTTTTTTACTACAGAGGTGGCACAGAAGAACACAAAATGTGTATTTTCAGACGTTTAATGAGGCTCAGAGGTGGCATGAGTGCAATTAAATTCATGTTGAGATTAATGTTTTAAATATCAAATTTTGAATATAGAAACATTAAATTATTTAAATAACTGCGTGAAAAATTAAACTAAAACTGGCAGTAGGTGGCAGCATGTCACTGATTTTATCACTGAATCATTAACTCACTAGATTTGTTTAAAACGCACGTTCATTCATAAATGAAACAACGCTGTGCTTGAATGGAGATGCACATCGGCTTAGCTGTGACTTTGTTTGAAACTATTTTCGTTGACGAAATAGAGTCTGTGATACACTACTCAACGCCGCAGAAACACGTTGCAAGTAGAAACCTTTGAAGCTCCCCTGAGCGTAAACACAAATATGCTGATGGCGTCAGTCGCACTGGTGCTCCTTAATATTTTTTCATAGTCGCACGCTGTAGAGCCCTGTTTTCACTTTACAAGATGTTAATTGATGGACTGGAGTCATGTGGAGTACAGTGACGTTTTTATCAGCTGTTTGTCCTCTCATTCTGACGGCACCCATTCACTGCAGAGGATCCATTGCTGAGCAAGTGACGTAATGCTAAATTTCTCCAAATCTGTGCTAATGAAGAAACACATTTTCAGCAAATTTTCATTTTTGGGTGAATGCTTATATTACTTATAAACTTGTATTTAAAATAAACGTTGTTCCTTTGAACTTTATATTGATTCAAGAATCCTGAAAAAAAGCATTACATTTGCAAAACCGTGTTACGCACATCCAGTCATCTTTTGTTGCAGTAGCATTTGCTATATAATGCAGATTATTGAAGCAACTGTGTCCTATAAAAGATTTTCTGGTACATTATTGACCCTAATTCACCTTTCGGTACAATCCAATTGGTGTGTGCCTCACTGATTTTCAAACACTAGAGTCCTCTGCTAACTCTTGACTATAGCAGCATAAGTGATGCTGCTATGAATTCTCCCATGAGAGGTTACCGCTCTCTGTCTCTCTTTCTCTCTCCAGGCTTTCCAGCTCATCAGAGCCATTTCTGTACTTCTGCATTTCACAAAAGAAGAGGAGGACATGCTCAAACAGACACTGGAGTACAAGGTGTGTGAGAAAAACAAATCTATATGTATAAATCTGGAGGACGACATATGGAAAGGTCAGCGTGCGTTCTTCTCGAGCCTCATCACAACCAGCAGCGCTCTCCTCCGCACCCGGGAGCTATCTAGGCCACTCTGCTAAGGCAGCTAACAATGTGGGTCAGGATATCTGGCTCACCGCTCTGAATCAAACCTATAGCACTCAGTGACACGGTCAGGAAAAGCAGCTGCCAGGTATTTATAGCTCACCCCAGCAACTGTGCTGGAAATCACTGCACATCACTGTGCTACATTACGCTCACCGCTTCACTCCCTGATGCCCCTTTTCAAAGGTGCCCTGTGGTCTATGTGGGGGTTTTGTAGAAAAACTTGATTGTTTTGTTACAGAAGTTTAACCTTATTTGAAATGGGGTTCAATGTCACTAGGGATGTACATATTATCAGTTTTTAAAAGGTCATTATTATTTTTGTGGCATCTCAAAAGAGAAATTGGTATTCATCTGTTCTACTGTAGATTTATGATTTGACATTTAAGTTAATTTCAAGCATCTAAAATTGTAGATTGAAGCTGTTGTGTTGGTACTGTGCATCATATTATCAAAAAATCAGTTTGTCATATTAGTTACAGGCCAAAACGTAAAAATAATCAATTAAATAATCAGCTATGTGCATCAAAAGGGGATAATTATTGACTTGTGTTGATAATTGTTGTTATTAAACATTAATAAAGTCATAATAAAGTATAGTCTTAATTATAATAAATACATTATTAATGATATTAAATTAATTGTAATAAAAATAATTTAATTAATTATTTTGTTTGTTAATAACAGCAATAATACATTTATTATTAATAATGATAATTTATTGAGCATATTGACGGTTAATTACTCAGAAGAATGTTTTCGGTAATTACATTAATTTTGAATTTAAACAGTAATGTACACTACTGTACAGTAAGATTTTTGTATTAGAAAAGTCTCATACTATAAACAAGGCCGCAATTATTTGGTCAAAAATACATTAAAAATGGAAATATTGTGAAATAATACTATAAATTAAAAATAACAGTTTGGTATTTGAATGTATTTAAAAATGTAATTTATTTCTTTGATGGAAAAGCTGAAATTTCAGCGTCATTACTCCAGTCTTCGGTGTCACATGAGCCTTCAGAAATCTTTCTCATACGATTTGGTGCTCAAGAATTTTATTAATGTTGAAAACAGTTGTGCTGCTTAATTTGAAACGTTTTTTTAGGATTCTTTGAATAGAGAGTGCAAAATACCAGCATATATGGTACCATAAATATATATGTATGTGAAAATTAAGTAAACTGAGAATAAAGTGTTTTTATAATAATAATAGTTTCTTTTGTTTGATAATTTATTTTATATTATTTACTTAAAATACGGTGAACTGCAACTGTTTTATTATTTAAAAAAAGAATCCAATACAATTCACAAAAAAATTATGAACCATTTATTTGATTAATTTAATTGAAATTCCTGAACATTTCTATAGCAGTGCATTCACATCTTGTGCAATGACAGAATGATGTTTGCATGATGGAAGCACTGTTTGAGTCTCATGTTTTGGGTGTGTTTCAGATGTCGTGGTTCGGTTCCAAGCCCACACCCAAAGGTATCATACGGCCTTCCATCTCAGGAACCTCAAGTTGGAGCTGAAAGACAAATACAGTGAATAATCTCAGTAGAAACCTACCGACGTCTGAAGGGAGCAATTGCAGATTCCACAGTTACAATCTCTGCCTCAACAGTTCCTATGTAGCTCGTGCCCTTTAAACAGCACGACACAAACAACTGTCCATTTTCACTAAAATATTGCAGGGACTGGAAACTAATGCTATATGAACATAATCTTTTCTTGACTGGGGAAATTCATCTTTTAAGTAATGGTCATCCGTCTCACTCATGTACTCTGTAACTGCTGTTTCCAACATCCTTCAACTGGAACAGAATGGAAAACCCTTCTTTCTTGTATTTACCTTTTTTTTTTTTGTAACTCCAATCTGAGCTCTTTGAAATCAAGGTTGGGCAAATCATATCCGCCAGTCCATTTCAGTGCTACTTAATGAAGACCATAAACAATTTTCCTTTTCCTCCAGTACTGGACGTCAGTGAAAATCAGGAATGGGATGTCACATTATACTGTCGTGATTTCAAATATGTGGAAGCATCTTACTTTAATCTGCCTTGTGTAAATTACAGTTACGTACATGCCATACTAGTATTTATATATGAATACCTGTATATAAGTGATGAGGATTTATAAATCAGTGGATACATAACTTGTTTTTTTTTTGTCATCATACACATGCATTAGTATCATATGTGTGTGAGATTCTTCACTGTGGGCTTGAAACTGTAATATAGAGGCATGTATGCACAGACTGAGAAAACGAGCATGCATGCCTTATACCGAATGCTTTGATTGTACATTGGTTTTGAGTGTATACTGAAGCATTTGAGTACACTTGACGCCTTAATGTTCAAGGCTAACTGCATTTCTATTTCTCTGAGAACATGTCAATAGAAACATCTTTCCTTTTTACCTGTAAAAACAAAGTGGTTTTCGGTCAAAGCCAGTGTTTTGCTGTCAGAACAATGTAATTGTGTGTGTTTTAACACTTTTAAGGCCACATCAGCAGCACTAAGGTTAACACTCTGGATGACAGACTCTTCTTCTAGAGACTTAAAAATCTCTGCAGGATGCTTAACACGTTTCCTGTTTTTAGAAAAAGAAACCCAAAGATTTCTGTTTTATGTGTAAAGACTGATTGAATTCGGTTTTTATGAAGCTTGAATCAGTGGATTCAGAGAATTCGTTTTGCCGTAAATGAAAGTTAATGGCCTGTGTGTGAACCGCTTAGGAATGAGATTTCTATTGAAAGATCCAAAAAGCACTTTTCTACAACCGTATTCATGTTTTGTTTGATGTTATACTGTAGCCGTCACAGTATCCATTGCCTCTGCTGTCAGCAAAATACCACTACATCCTTATTTTGGTTTCACTTCATGTTATGTCAGGAATATCAAAACTTGATAAAAATGATGTTCTTTCTCAGTGACTTTGTCTGAAGACGCGTTTGTGCTTCTATGTGGTTACCAGTGCTGACTTCAGTGCTTCTAACAGTGGCTCTGAAAGTGATGAGACAAAGCATTTCTGAGTCACTGCAGAGCAGAGCTAGCATAAGATCAATGATCAGAGACCTTTGTAAGATCAAGTAAAGAACACATAAAAATATGTCAATGGCATTTTCTAAACTTAAATGTGACCCTGGACCACAAAACCAGTCATAAGGGTCAATTTTTTTTAAATTGAGTTTTATACATCATCTGAAAGCTGAATAAATAAGCTTTCCATTGATGTATGGTTTGTTAGGATAGGACAATATTTGGTCGAGATACAACTATTTGAATATCTGGAATCTGAGGGTGCAAAAAAATCTAAATACTGAGAAAATCGCCTTTAAAGTTGTCCAAATGAAGTTCTTGGCAATGCATATTACTAATCAAAAATTAAGTTTTAATATATTTACAGTAGGAAATTTACAAAATATCTTCATGGAACATGATCTTTACTTAATATCCTAATGATTTTTGGCATAAAAGAAAAATCGATAATTTTGACCCATACAATGTATTTTTGGCTATTGCTACATATATACCCCAGCGACTTAAGACTGGTTTTGTGCCCCAGGGTCACAAATGTCTGGGGAGCACTCAATGAATTGTATTAACACTTCGCAATTTCAGCTTCCAACAAATCCACATTGCTTTTTAATTTATTTTCCGGAAAAACAAAAAAACTAAACTTGAATAGCTGTTCCCAAACACTAGAATATGAAAATAACTTTTTATCAAATGAAGTGAGTTTATGATTTTAACAAAAACAAATACCTGCCAATAAGCTCAGAAAAGTAGTTTTTATACCCCATTGACAGATATTTGTTCTGGTTTCAAGCATATACTCTTCATTTTTAGTTTCTCAAAAAAAACAAAAAAAAAAACAAAATATCTTCATTTTGCATCTCAAGTAAATGTACCTTGATTTAAAGATGTTTACATATTTGAACTGGGGAAAAAATACTGAGAAAGATATTTTTTTTAATTTTAATTTTTATTATTTATTTGTTTTATTATTATTTGTATTTTTTTGGCAGCGCATGCAACTTTAATATATGACTGAATTTAAGACTTCCTAAACCTATTTAAGGCCTTAATTTTTTGAAAGGTTGAACTGCAAGACATTTCAAGACCCACAGAAGTGTATAGTGTACAGGGTGTATGTGCTGGTAACTAGTAAGTTTTAACTTTGACATAACTCAATCCGCACCATATATAGGGTATGTGAATGACGCCTCAAATCATGTTTTCTGAGGAATGTATAATATTACTATCCCAAATAACTGGACACAGCAAAATAGGTTAAATGATCCCATTGATGTTTGACTTGAGCCCAGGGACCACAATTTCAAAGAGACTTTATCAGGCAAACCTGGAAGACCTTATACAAATACAACTGCAGTGTTACTTGTTTTAAAACTCCAAAATAAAGAACCAGACTTGACTTAAATGCATATTAGAACATAATTTCAGATTTTGTTTAAAATTCTAATAAAGCCTAACGTGTCTATAAGAAGTCATTGATATACTATTCATTTTTAGACTTTCTGTTTTCATTTAAGTTGTAGTAATGTTGTGTTTTTGTCTTTTGTTTTATTTTTTGTTATTTTAGTGCATCAAGTTAAAGGAAATGAAAATGAGAAATGATAATCAATTAGCTGAAATAAAAAGTTTAGATTTTTTTTTGAACTAGTCAGTTAAAGAAAAGAAATACACTCTTAATGTTCTTTATTGCACCAGGCACTTCACAATAACCCTCCCGACCCGACCCCACACTACGATTTGAACCATAAATCCACCACCTAAATACTATATATTAAACATCATCCTCTTTCTGTACAATAAGAAAAATTTTAAACCGGAACTAAAGAAATGAGAACTACACATCCGAGAGTGCCAACTAAGTAAAACAGGCAAATACAACTTTCATATTCGTCACAGTATTTCATTCCCTGAAACTGCAGCTCAGGGCTCAGACAGCAAAGTCTGGTCACGAGACTCCTCGTCTTTCCGTCGCACAACCGTTCACCTTCATTAGTCGAGAATCGTGACTTCCGTAACAACATATTGATGCATCAATAACTTACATTAAATATCATACAATATCTCTGTTTTTGAGTGAAATAATCGGTTGAGCATGAGTGGTTTTCCCTCGGATAAGGCTGAGCTGTGAGAGAGGAAGTTGTCCTTGTCTAGGAAAGAGAAACAAATCCCGTGGCTGCTTATCTCTCTGTTTTCTTGCGGCTCCTCAGACAGATTTTCTCGCAGTCAGCACTCGTACGATGGACCCCAGACCCCCCACAGCGAAAGCCTGAGTGAGAAGACAATAATAGACGTGTGAGATGAAAAACAGACGCCAAAGACATCGAGTCTCTTTATTCCAAGACCGACCTTTTCGTGCCACTGGAGCAGGATGGCGCTGCTGTTGTCTGAGGGCTTCTCGAAGCCTCTGTAGATGTACTTCATCAGCAGGTCCACTCTGTTCCTGTCCAGAGACTTCACGGCCAGCTCGATATCGCTGCTCTTGAATGCAGTCAGCACTCGTAACACCACCGCCTGTGCACGCTCCTGAGAGAGGAGGTGGAGGGAGCGCAACAAACAAGTGTAGGTGGAGGAAAAGACAAACATGTCTATACCTACTCGATGGACTGTTTAAATGCATAATAACTAGTGATGCACCAAAATACATTTTATACAAAACACCGAAATTAAGTTATGTTAATGTACTCATATATTTATATAATAATACTTCGAATGAAATAATGTTTAGAAATTGGCCCTATTCACTTCCATTGACAACATGGATCAAAAGGAGGGACAAGCGGAAGTTCTTTTTGTGGTAATCAACATTTTGCAATGAACCCGTAATATTCCCTTAAAACATTCGGAGCTAGGGCTGCACGATAAATCGAAATGGAATCGAGATCGCGATTCGACAGAAGCTGCGATTGTCATGCGTATCTTTCAGTGAAGCACGGTTCTGTGATCAGCAGTAAATCTCCATCCAAAGGCCAGAGGGCGCTCTCGTGCTGAAACTCCAAATACGCCTCGCAGAAGAAACCCAGAAAATGCCTATCGCTGCAGCTGAATAAACAGAAGATTCAACTGCTTTCATTGATTCAACGTGACTAATAAACACACGACTACGGCAATATACGGTTTATCTGAGTTCTTATTAATATAAAGTATATTTATAATGCAATGCCTTTATTACTGCTTAAATACTGTTTTGAAACATTGAAATATGTTGCGTGCCTTATTTTGTGTAAGAAGCCACATCATCTCACAGAAGGATTTATTTCAAACACGTAACTTGCGTAACTTGTCAGTGAACTACGGCTCTGTGTAGTAAATGCTGCTCCATCTGATAGCACCTGATGATGATTGACTGGTGATTACAGAACCGGCATTACTATCAAAATGCGCATGACAATCGCATTCGATTAATCGTTGCAGCCCTACTCGGAGCGTTGAATTTCACACCCTCAAGGCAAGGCAAATCAACAACACATTCCAGACACACAATGAGATTTCTGTGACAACCTGTTCTGCACAAATAGGGCCCCTAATAACAGTGTTGTTGAACATCTGAAAGCAATACATCAACCTGTCTGAGCAACAGAATTGTCTCTTACTTTCACTGCTGGATTCTTGGAGTTGATTGGTGGATTCCTCAAGGCGATGTGAAATGCTGCCATCATGTCCCCTGTGCATCACAGTTAGTTAAGGAAAGCTGAGCAACCAGCCAGTCGCTCCCAAAAACCCTGAAGAGCATTCTTTAGATGTGGAGAGCATCTTAACATTTTGGTAAGTATTAGAAAAGTTTACAGAGAAGCTGGTGTTAAGTAGTACATATCTGGCGTTTGTCTCACTGGCTGTTTACGTATTTACATTTTTCAGTGTTATATGCAGAGAGACAACTAAAAATAAACCATTTATAGGTTGGTTTCTTTAAAAAGTGTAAACTGTTTCTCTTGTCGCATATTAAAAAACATTGCCAGTCATCCTGAACAGCCCAAAACAGCAACACTTAATTTGAAGTGGGACTATGTTTCCTGTCCGACCAATGGAAGATGAGGAGGGAGTGTTCAAGAAACCAGTTTGAAAACAATCATTATTACACACTCAACTACTCAACATTTTAAAGATCGGAGTCTTACTATTCACTACCTTTATGCACAAAGTCATCGCAAAATCATCCTCCTTTAAAGAAACCAATAATGACCAAAAGAAAATGCAAAACCTGATGTCAAGACAAACATCTAAACAGTATCTAAACAATATGCTGAAGACACAAACATGCAATTCACGTCTTTATCATATTAGTGGAGATGTCAGAGTCAGTCCTCTTTAAAGCTCCTACAGTCTAAAAATGTGCCTCTGAGCACCAAAAATGGATAATTCCAGTCACAACCGCTGATGAGAGGGGGGAAGGGGGAGTTTTTTCTTCTAAACAAAATAATTGTTTACTTTCGGATTTGGCAACTCTGGTGTGTCACTTTAAAACACAACCAAAGACTATATATATATCACAGGTCAAAACTGCATGACCCTGTCATATTCAAGGTTATTCAGAGGTTATTTAAAGGTTGCAATTATAAAAAAACAAAAACTAAAATGAAACTAAAATTTCAGTGGCACCAAAAGTAAAGAAATTATTTTAAAAAAGGGAATTAAAATAATTACTTATTCTCAGTCGGTGTGTTAACGTAACAGCCCTTTAAGGATATTAAATCAAAATTTACAACATAAAATAACTTAGAATTGATCTATAACAGCTAAAAGCTGAAGCTAACTAAACTGAAGCCAGAAAAAAAAATGAGAAAAAATAATGAGAGCGACAACTAAAACTACTGTACAGAACAATAAAACAGAAATAAAATAGCATAAATAAATAAAACCCAACCTATAAAATATTAAGACATAATATTAAATTACTAGAACAGAAAGTAACCAGTTCCACCAATAACTCCACTAAATAATTGTTAACGTTACTTTAAATACAAAAACATTAATAATTCGGAATAAAGCTAAAGTTGCCCCACATCACACACTCACTGTGCAACTATTTGACAGGTTCACTCTTATCGACGTCCACTCTATGCCTATGAACTGTCTATCTAGACACCGGACAGTATTTCTGGACATCACAGGGGCGCTGATGCCTCGGTAGGGGTATGGGTTTGAGACACAACCTGTGCATAAATAATGTATGAGGTACATCTGAACTAGGACAAGGTTGCTGACCTTAAGAGAGACGAACTTACTCCTGGCACGTTTAAGAGAGATGATATATAATCGATCATGGTCTGACTCTGATCTGAAGGATATTGCCTGATAAGATCGTCCACCTCGCAGGCGTCCGGTCCCTGCTGCTCGGCCGCCTCGTCCTGCTCGTCCACGAATTTATTCTCGTCGTATTCGTCGATGTCGACTCCCCGGAATCGTGAGGACAGGGTGTTTTTCGCCATGAGGAGGAGCAGCTTCAGTCAATCATGCGAGTCCGGGAATGTGCGGTAACGGGACCGATGCGAGTGTGTCAGCGCCGTTACTGCGTTCATCTGTCAGCAGGACGCTGCGGCTGTTCCCTCTCCCCCAGCGACAGCATCTCCACACATTCCTGCAGAGCGCACAAAAATCCCGACGGGAACGGAAACGGAATTACACACCATGGTTACGCTGTCACACGGTGTTTCCGTTTCCTGTGATGCAACGAAGGAGCCTGCAGCTTATAAATTAAGGTATGGATAAAAAGAAAAAACAACAACAACAAGGGTTACATTTCTGAAACTGTATGACAATCTGAATTAATTTGATTCACTAAATTAACTTCTTATTTAACTTTGTTTCTTATTTTACTGTATTTTCATATTTATTTTGAAAGAAAAGAAAAGAAAAGAAAAAGAAAGGTATGCATATTATGGACTATAACATAAAGAATACCGAGAGAAATTTGTATTCGTAATATACAATAGACACTGTTTTCGTTCATTCATTTATGTATTTATTAATTTATTTATTTATTTACAATAATATTATCATCATAATAATACATGCTCTAATATCCTTTTTTCATTATATGTAAATAGAACTTCTCTAATAATATTAGTAACTATATGCATTTGATACACTTTTTAAATTTATTGATTGATTTATTTGATCATAATCAAAATGCATAATTAATATCCTTTTTGTTTTCATTTTACGTATCTAAATTTTCTCTAATAATATTCATGTACAATATTTTTGCTCTATCCAGTGGTCACTGAAATATATGATTACATTTTAATATAGTCCTTTTTATCAATAATACTAATCTTCATAATACATGCTCTAATATCTTTTTGTTTTCGTTGTACATATACATAATTCTAATAATATTAATAACTGGGCAATATGCTTTTTTTTTATTTAATTGCCATTGAAATATATATGGTGTCTTCCAGTTGCAAACCACGTTAATTTTTATTTTTATTTATTTTTTTGTTATTAACATATTATATTTGACGTGCTTATCTGTTGTTTTCCAAGCTGTTTGGAAATGTAAACTGTTATAAACTGCTAAGTCTGGAGAATTTGTGACAAATACCATTGAAATAATAAAATACATTTAAGATTTAACATGGTATATCTTAAAGCTTACCAGGCAGTTGGAGAAACGGTAAGAAAGCTAGACTAAACATTGCTTTGAATTACAGTTTCTCAAGGAAGCTTTTCTTACCTACCGGGCCAACAGCAGCAAATGACCACTAGAGGACAGCAGATGCTTTCATATTAATGTTTTACAGTCTACTACTGTGTATTACATTACAGATGGATCATAAATCAAACCTTGAACAATTTTGTTTTATTTGTTTTCAAAATGTTCAAAACCTTTTCTTCTTTTTATGCTGTTTGACATTGTAAGACATGCAGCTTGATGACGCCATTCATTGCCTCATAATAAATAATTGGATTCATTAAAACACAAACTTAAAACAAGCAAATAAACTAATTTGTCAAGCAAATAGAATCTAAAAAAGATGCTTAGCTGACATTTTACTTTCATGAAATAGCATGCAGATCACTGGGAGCGTCTGACCCGGTCTGTTCCCATACCATCCATTCATTTTCATGACATCAATGCAATTACTTTCAGTGTTTTTTTTACTTCTACATGTATGTTTTGCTTCTGTTTTTTATTGTTTCTTGTGCCTTGCAGCAAAGTAATGTGTATGCACAGGCTTTATCAATACCCAGCTAACTTCCTCTCTCTCATTTTCTGAGGGCAATGCAAATATTTACTCTGAACTGGAAGGGAATTCTGGGAGACAGAGACCTCTGGGTATTTACACACAACCCTGCTGCTTTATAGTGTTCATTTAATCAGATCATCTACGGCATCGATAAGAGTCGTCTCAAGTTACACTCTTTGAACATGTTCAGAATCTGAATAATTCATTCAACATATAGCAGACTAAAAAAGAATGACTGTGATTTAGAGAAGAAATGCTGTTCTTTTGAACATTCTATTCATCCAAAAATCCTGAAAAAAGTATTGGTTTCCACCAAAAAATATTAAGCAACACAACCGTTTTTAACATTGATAATAATAAGATGTTTTATGATAAAGTGTTTCTTAAGCAGCAAATCAGCATATAAAAATGATTTTTGAAGGATCAAGACTGGAGTAATGATGCTGAAAATACAGCTTTGCATCACAGGAATAAATTACATTTTAAAATATATTTAAATAGAAAATTCTTATTTTACATTATAATAATATTTCACAACATTACAGTTTTTGCTGTATTTTGCTCAAATAAATGCAGCCTTGCTGAGCATAAGATACTGACCGACCCAAAACTTTTGAACAGTGCATATTGATATATTATAAGGATGTGTTCACAAAACAACTTGTGAAACTAATATCAAACTATCAGTAACTGACCTTTTAGTGTGCACCATGCATCACTTAAATGTACCATTTTAGTTTCAAAATCAACAGCTGTAGAGGCATTTTTCTTTTTGGCCTTCAAAAGGCTTATGTAACGTCATTCCCCAGTGCTGAAAGACAGTCACCAGACATGATTTTTGGATGGAGTTACATATTTTAGACGATGTACTAGTTTTATATCAAGTCAGAGAGAGAAAAAAACACCAAAACCTGCAGGGATTTAATTTTCAATGAATTATAATAACCTGTGTCAATACAGCTAAAGCGCCTTTCACTGAGGAAGACCATATGGGTGTCAGAAATCCTAAAAAGTCTATCACTCTTCCTTGCTGGACTTAACTCAACATCACAGCCTGTGCTAAATCCATTCTTCTCAAAGCCATAAGACATTTAAGTTGTTAGACCCAAATTGGTCTAGCATTCCAGTCTGCACTGCTTTGATTCAATCAAACATCAATTTGCAAAGCAGATTTTCTGTATTGGAAAGGAATGAAAGGCCACACACAATTGTGCTGTCAAACCGCTCTCAGACTTAATCCAGGCTTCTCCACCTGTTCACAGGACTGTGTAGCTCCCACACTGTCTTAGTCTCTAGGGGCCCCTCTGGTCCCCACAAAAACGTCTTGGTGGTTTTGATTTTACGAGGCTGGGACCCCCTCTCAGGGCTCATTATTTTGGGGTGGGGGCTGATTGGCACTCCAGCCCTTGTTTTCAATAAGCAGGGATTTCCTTTTATTTCTATGGTATGTCGCATGTCATTCATGGGCTCTGTAGATCTGTTGTCATCACAGGCTTTTCTGGCCCTTGTTTTGGATCGGCAGGGCTCAGATGTGGTTCTGATGCGATAGCCAAATGAAGGTCCATAAAACGATGGCAGGACGCTGAGAGTGGGAGAGGGATTTCTGTCCATCAGGGTAGACGGGAACGTTAGCGCTGTAGCTGTGGCCGGGTAACGTGTTTTGATTATGAGTTTGGCATCAGAAGCTTTGTATGAACTTCTATTCGATTTGGTTCTCCTATATTCGCCTTCAGTCTTCTCTGTAATGTCATATTCTTGCTTGTCCTCTACAATATTAAACGATCTGTCAATGTCACATTGAGTTTCTATGATTTTGTGTTGTCTGTTGTCATCTGTGACGTCTTGTGGACGTTTTTCGTCAATCATGTCATTCTCAAAAGTTTCCTCAGGAGTGTCATTCTCCCAGGTATCTATATTATCATATCGCATGCCATCTGTGGAATCATTTTGTCCTTCATCTGCTGTTTTATTGACGGTGATGTCTTGTTTTTGGCTCTCCATGGGGATGTCATGCTCTCTGAGTTCCTCTGTGACGTCTTGCCTCTCATATACCTCTGAGCTGCTTATAAGGAAAACAAATTGTCAACACTTGAAGGAAAAAGGTGGAAAACAGCTTTCAGCTGAGTGTTCACACCACATCTTGTTTAACCTAAAAGAAAATTCCAGCCAAGTAACCCCCAATGCATGTGGACTATATTTGTTCACAGATTAAAAGACTGTTTGTCTGCAGGGCAAAATAATTCTACAGCATATTACTTCTAAAACTATGAGGTTTCAGATGTCCAAACGTCATAAAGAATTATTACATCCTAAGGCTAAGTAAACCAGAAATCCCTTCTCGATTGCTGCACCCTGGAGACCTATGTTCAGTTAAACAAGTTTTGCTAGCCAGGAACATGAGCGAAACCTGCAAATACCAAATGTGAAATGATATTTGCAGCCTGACCTACAGCTATATTACAGCTGCTATGATACTGAGATACAGAAAAACTGAAAACATGCAGTGCACAGGGTAGTCATGGGAAACTGAAAACATGTACATGAAAATATGTACAATTGTCCATTGTAATTTGAGTAGATTGGAGAATTTACACACTATTAGCTCTCTGAAAATGCTTTGAGTGTATCCTGGCCAAATGAACAGCCTGTATCATAGAAGACCTTAGTGGGACCCCCTCACCAAAGGGACTGAGACAATATTCCTACCTTGACGACGGCCTTGCAGCTTAGTCTGTTGGGAGCAGTTGTTGAGTTAAATTTACTTCATCTGTGAGCATCAGGTTAATGCCATTCTTAGCATGAGTTACTCTAGTCTGGCCTCCTCTATTGTGAGTTTCCATGGAAGTGAGAACATCACACTGTCACCAGCTGAATGCCAGACACTAACCACACAGCTCACAATGACACTTAATACGGCCTCAGTGGCACAGACGACTTATCATATCACTCATGAATCCTCATTAACCGCTCAAAGGATGGATGAACGATTCCATTATTTTTGGCATTTGAATGTGCTTGCCATCTATTTCGTTTCATGTAGCTTTTACAGTACACATTCTTTTCTTTAGCCTCAACATGTTCTCACTCCCAAGGCGTCCAAAACTGCTGCATGTTTAAGAGACATGCTGTCAATTTGAAACACTTCAGGGATGGTTTTATGATAGTAAAAGTGTAGTAACCATGTTTTTTTTGGCATATTGATTACCAGTTGTATAACAACCACAGTTTTACTATAAATACCATGGTTAAACTATGGTTAGTGTAGTAAAACCAATTTTGGTTAATTTGTGGTTGCCATAGTTTAACTATAGTAACCATGTTTTTTGTTGTTGTTGTTTTTGTAGTAAAACCATGGTTAATTTTTGTAAGGGGTATTTTTTGTAGGCCAACCCAGAAATTAGCATCACTCTGGTTCCCTCCAAAAAAATCCAGTTGGATTTTTGCACTGCTTTTTGCATTGCAGAAAATAACCTCAGTGACCAACAAACGTTTATGATTCTTACAAAGAATGTAATGTTCATTGTCTCCAACAACATTTACAGTAGCTGCTACTTGTTAGCAATCACTTTTTCAATACAAGTATCTAATATAAAATTAATACCTTAAGCGTGTAGCCTATTAACCACAGACCTTATTTCAGTAATTTAACAAAAACTCATTAAAATCCCATTGACTTTAGGATGATGGAATCTGATGGGCTAAAATGCTAGCTCATTTTTTGGTGTTTTAGCCTACAAAAATACGTCAGGGGAATTTTATCGTTATTATCAAATTTTAATGTTATCGAATTTTATCGTTTATTTTATTTTATCGAATTTTATCGTTTGTAAACATAATTTACAAATTATGTTTGGGGAATAATTATGACACATGACAAGATGTTGAGGTTTTCAATTTGAACACCTAACCAACAAAATTGAACTCAATATAAAACACGTAACATACAGCTAAAAGTAAAACAGACCCAAATAATTGATTATGGCATCCAAGCGCCGATTTCATTGTACATTTCCACCTGTAAAAGTGTGTAAAGGGCACCTATTGTGCAAAATCCACTTTTACATTGTTGTATTAACCAAAATACATTGGCAGTGTGTGAACACAACCACCCTACAATGATAAAAATCCACCCACTCCTTATTTTTTTAACCCCATTAAACCAAATCAGTTTCATTTGGCATGCCGTTTGGATTCTCTAAGCAATATGACATCACATTGCTTAGGCCCCGCCCACGGCGGCTGATTGACAATCCTGCATTGCCATAGTTTCCGCCCTCAGCAGTTGTACACTGTCCTCCATTTTCTCTGTGCTCAAACAGCTGTAACGTCAACAATGTCTTGTAATCAATCTCGGTGTTCTGTGTTTGAATGTAAGACTGAACATAAGAGTCCTTTTCTCCCAACATCTGAGCCCCTGAGGACACAGTGGATTACTTTTATTTTTAAAGGTAATACACCTCAAAATCGACCTAAATACATTAATGTCTGCGTAAATCATTTCACTCTTTGTGAATGTCATGTCATTATAGTGCTAGGCTAACCTTTTAACTGTGTTTGTGTGCGTACGTTATTGAAATATTTTAATTGATCTGTGCCGCACTTGTGAGATTAGTTCGCGCCGTGCCTGTCCGTTTGGTAGCTCAGTTCAGTAATATCACACTGTTTCGTCCCACTGTCAGTGCAATTGGTTTCCAATATGCATGGCTGAACACCGGGTTCTCTCGCTCTCAGTCATGTTGCTTCTACTGGCTGTTTATTGCTGTAGGTAACAGTATATGCTACACCCTCTTCTGGAGACGGGGCGGGAATATGCAGCTCATTTGCATTTAAAGTGATACACACCAAAACAGCTCTTTTTTTTTTTAGACACGCCCCAAATAAGACATTTTCCAGATGTCATAATAAATGATCTGTGGGGTATTTTGAGCTGAAACTTCACAGGCATTCTGGGGACACCCAAGACCAATATTACATCTTGTAAAAAGGGGCATAATAGGTGCCCTTTAAAGCCAGCTCTTGCACATGTTTCATGATGGTGAAATGCTACATTTCTTGCGCGCATTTGAATGAGATGAATGCAGGAAGATGCTTTTCATGTCGGTATACTGGTGTGTTTTTTTATAGCATTTTCGGACAGGGTTGTTTACCTTGGTTAAATATTATCAAGTAAGTGGAGCGTTCTGTAAGTGATGTCACTTGTCCATTTCATTATGTGCTTGATCAGACTCTCTTTTTGAAGTCGGAGGTCTAGCTCTGTTTTAAAAATTGTGTTTTTCTAAGGATGATAGTCTACCAGTTAAGTATTAGTTTTACCTATTTTCCTGTCCTGGTGCTGTATCTTCTCTCTGCTCCTGCGGCTGATATGATGAAGGCAGGTAGAGATGTAGTAATGGGGTTAGACTGAGATTCTCTTCTTCAGTAAAATGTTGAGGTCTATCTTGAAGGACATTTTGGTCATCTTTTCTTCTCCAGAGAATCTTACACATGGGAGTTTCTCCATAAAGAATGAGATTATTGAGAATTAGTGTATGAGAAATGGACTGTGAAAATGATCTTTAAATTTGCTGCTCATGTTTTGTGTCTTGTAAGCATTTGACACTATTTACTCTGAGAAGGAGAACATAGCAACAACGTTCTTCCGCTAGTTTATAACTTTGATCATGAGACCTTCGAGATGATATAAACAATCTCAGATGCCATACAAATCTCTCAGTGTGCCGTTGCTTACAGAATAACTGTTGAATCTCAGGTAAAATACATTTCTGTAGGAGACAGTTTTGTATTTTTTAAGTATTTAATTGTTTTTATTTTAGGAAGATGATTTCATTTTTTTTTTAAAGTAAAAAGCACATTTCCTGAACCAAGAGGTCAAATCAATATAGAAATAGTTTTTTTTAAACATATATCCAAACAAATAAATGTATTTCTTATGTCAAATGCAAAACAAGATGTTATGCAGAATAAAATGAGTTTGTTTCTTCATCCAAACAGATTTGGTGAAATTTAGCATTACATGACTTGCTCACCAATGGACGGCAGCATCTCAATAATCCACAATTAATGTCTTGTGAAGCAAAAAGATGGATGTTTGTAATAAACAAATCCATCATTAAGATTTTTTTGTATTATTTAAATGGTTGCTTCCCAGTAAAATTCAAGTCCTCTTTCCATAATATTGCTTTCTCCAATGAAAAAAGTTGTCATGTATGAATCAGGAGAGAAATAAGCACATATCAAGCACCGTTTAAACAGTCCAAAACAGTTCTAAACAAATATGTTGGTGGATTTTGATGTGAGAGGACAACAGGGGACGGACTTTTTAACTGGGGGAAGCATTAATATGAATTATGGACTGGTATTTTGGCCAGAAAGATAAAATGCTTTAATGATGGATTTGTATCTTACAAACACACAGCTTTTCACTTCACAAGGCATTAATTGATGGACTGTAGTCGTCTGGATTAATTGTAGATTATTGTGATGTTTTTATCAGCTGTTTGGACTCTCATTCTGACGGCACCCATTCACTGCAGAGCATCCATTGGTGAGCAAGTGATGGAATGCTACATTTCTCCAAATCTGTTGCGATGAAGAAACAAACTAATCTGTTTTGGATGGCCTGAGGGTGAGTATATTTTCATTTCTTGAAGAACTATTCCTTTAAACAAAACCAGTTCAGTTCAGTTTGTGCTCTTAATGGTTCAATAAATGGTATAGGCCTCACCTGGTGCGCTTAGTGCTCGGCGTTCCGTCTGATTCTCCAATGGGACAGTGGAAGGCCGGTGGCTTGAATCCAGCGGGACTCTCTGTCTGTGTATACTGCTCCTCGCTCTTTCTCCCTCCCCTGTTCTTTTAATCACAGTGTATGCATCCCATACTTTCAGTTCACTCTTTGTTTCAACACAGTCTCTACTGGATTTCTGTTCTCTTGCAGAGGTGGAATGAGCTCTGTCGTTCTCGTCTTTATGGGGTGATGATGTGGAGCAGTTGGAGGGTCGTGGTGACAGGACACATCGCACTCCACATGCTGTGAGAACATAAACAGAGATCTTGATTAATAGGGTTTAAATGGCTTTAACTGCTCCCGCTTCCAGCAACAACTGAATCCCAGTAAAGTACTAGGCAACTTTGTTAACTGTTATAATTAAGTAGCTGAATAATAAGCAGGATAATGCGCAGTTATATGGTTATTATTGCAAAATAAACCTCTTTAATATGATCACCCTTATGGGTTTTATTTTGCAGTAATCACCAGCTGACTGTGCATTATCCCTTGCATAATAAGTAAGGAATAATGGAAGGTGGCTATTGAATTATTGAAAAATGATGGTTAAAAAAAATAATGCAGTATAAGTGAAATCCAGACAATAAGTGTATTATTATATATTATCTATCTATTATTATTATTATCCTATTATTAGTCATATCTGTTTGCTTGGTCTGTTTCTTTGTGAGTTTTAGTTCATTTGCTTATATAATATAATAATAATAATAATATTTGATGATATAATATAATATAATAATGAAATTATATATTATTAATAATATTAATAAAAAATTATTGATAATGTGCAAGACATAATATGTATTAAACACATTGCAAACAGATACTAATGTCAATATAATATAATATAATATAATATAATGAAATTGTAATTATATATAATTAATAATATTAATAATATATAATTGGTAATGTGCAAGACATAAGGGGAAGTCGTGGCCTATTAGTTAGAGAGTCGGACTAGTAACCCAAAGGTTGCGAGTTCGAGTCTCCGGTCCGGCAGGAATTGTGGCTGGGGGGAGTGAATGTACAGTGCTCTCTTCCACCTTCAATACCACAACTGAGGTGCCCTTGAGCAAGGCGCCGAACCCCCAACTGCTCCCCGGGCGCCGCAGCATAAAGGGCTGCCCACTGCTCCAGGTGTGTGTTCACGGTGTGTGTGTGTGTGTGTTCACTGCTGTGTGTGTGCACTTAGGATGGGTTAAATGCAGAGCACTAATTCCTAGTATGGGTCACCATACTTGGCCACATGTCACGTCACTTCACACCTCATAATGTTTTAAACACTTTACAAACAGATACTTATGGTTAATATATATATATATATATTATCCTTTGCTTAACATTTTGCTCACATTTTAGAGAAGCATTGACAAATTACCTATGAGCAGAGCTTTTTTGGCTGTGAATGATTTCCTGGCATTTTTTTCTGAGAGGTTTCTTGAGCCTCTAAGCGACCTCCCCTGAAGCATGCTGTTGCTATATGCACCAGTGTTTGGAGAAGATGATCCATGTTGATGTACTGGAAATGTTTTAAGAGGTGGGACCCCTCTCTGGTTTGTGACTTGGAGCTGTAGTCTTTGTTTCACTATAGAGTTCCATGCCATTGAGCCTGCTGTTCTGATGGGTCCTGTGTGCTCTCTGAAACGTCTCACGGGACAGAAATGCATCGCATGGCTCTGCCCATTTTTGTTCACGGGGCACCTTGCTGAATCTAATGTGATTGCTTACAAGTTACACCTAGACAATGTAAGAAGAAGAATGACAGAGAAAACACACAGTAAATTATGAACATAAATCATGTGCTGGGTCATTTTTGTGTATTATCTTTTGAACTGTATACTGTAACTTTAACAAAATTACTATGGCCTTAAGGACATATTTCTGTAATTATTCCAGACTTCCAAAAAGACGTTCTCTTCAAACTCAACTTTAATAATGATGACTTGACACAAATTTCTTTACACAACAGAAAGAAAATAAACATGATGCGATATAACAAGATGAAAATAAAGAGATGAATGTACCCATTGATATTTTTAACTACCTTTGAAATTTTTATCATGATCATACCAATTTCTATAATATTTCAAACAGGTTGGAATGTACAGAGCGTCTAAAGGGACAAAAGATTTTCCATTTCACCGACACAAATTTTGTTCGCTTTCGAAACATTTGTCTTATCTCGCAAAACTTTTGTATGCAAATGGAAAACTGGTGATGGAAACAATGTGAAATGGTTGGAAAAATTATATAAAAAATTTTTTGTGTTTGCAAAACTTTTGCGTTACACTGAGAAAATTTGTATTCGCACTTTTGCATTTGAATGCAAAACAATAAAAGACAGTAGGAAAAATGATATTTCAATGCTTTTGTGTTTGTTTGCAACTTTGCACGTGTTCACTTCCCAAATATTTAGTTTTGCAAGTGAATGCTTTTGTAAGAGAATGCAAATTGAGATAGAAGGAAAAACTATAGTTCAATGCATTTTTGAGTGAGCACAAGTTTCTTGTGTTAACGCAGAACTTTTACAAGAAAATGTGAATGTTTTACAAGTGAATGTAAAGTTTCTGGATGGATGGAAAGTAAAAAAAAAAAAGAAAAAAAAAAAGAATGCTAAAAGACCAAACTTTGAAATGAATACCAAATAAAACAATTTTCATAAATTTCAAACAATTCGATTACAGAAAGGAAAATATGGAGAATTATCTGAAATATTTCATAAAAAATTGTTTCTTTTTTCATGTTAGAGATTAGTGCAGCACCCAGGGACATGACAAAAATGACATTTGATAAAACATTATTGTTGTATTGTAATAATATAATACTAACTAAAATGGTCTCCATGTTAAAAAATTGTGGGTTTACTATTTTATCTTACATATTAAGACATAAAACAGGGTCATGAAAATGTACTAGAATGAGGAATGGCCCTTCTAAACCGGGATTATCTGTCAGTGTGTGCCAGCATGACTCATTTAAGGAATGTAGATCACAGCTGCATCTGCTGTACGTAACCCATGTGTTCTCTGCGTCCAACCCTCTCGCTCAGCGTTTTGATGTTTTATGATTTTGGACAGTCAGTTAAGCTATAATCCCACAGTGAAAAGGCTTCTGGATGGCATATGGAATGTGAGGTCAACAGTACACCAATAAGGGCATCATCATTAGTCTATAATTAGCTCATCGTGCGAAGTTGTGTGGGTTTTAATTTTCTCTCTGTGCCCCATGTTGCAGTAAGACCTTCAGACAAGCTTTAGGCACTTAACTATATTTCTATTCCTTATATGCTTAACATGATAAAAAGCAGTTATACTGTATGTTACACAACTGCTTTCCCAGATTGTGAGCTGCTTTTTTATGTTTTGCATGCATCCATATGCTCATCATATATACGGCCTGAATGTTTGCCTTGCACTAGCATTCTCTTCTGAAAAAGAAGGACACTTAAGAAGGCTTAAAAGAAGGTATGCATTTAAAAATGTAAAGAAAATTGGGTAACACTTTATTTTAAGGTGTCCTTGTTACACATGTGACATGTGCTTACTATTATAATAACAATAAATTATGCATAATTACATGCAAGTAACCCTAAGCCAAACCCTAACCGTATAGTAAGTACATGTTAATTAATATTACTCAGTACTTAAATGTATAATAACACTGTAACAAGGACACCTTAAAAGAAAGTGTAACTGGTTAAAAGAATGTACTTAAGTGTGGATTGAATGTAATGTTTTTGGACATTTTATTGCATGTTATTTACAATTAAATAAAAAAAATGTATTATAGTTTAAATTCATATTGAATGCAATTAGTTGTACTTAAGAGTGTTTTTGACACTTAAATATGAATTAATCTTTATATGTTACCTCATATTTACTTCTATTGTCTTTGAAATATGGTTATATAAAACAAGCAGTTTTGTTAAACTAAAATATACTTTAATGTCACATCTATTGAAACTTGTGTGTTATTTAAATATATTTATAATTGCACATGAATGATGGAGTTGCTATTTAGTACATTTAAATTATATTAACTTTAAATGTAATATCGATTAACACTACAATTCCAAGTATGATCAAGTGCTTTAGTATGTTAGTCAACACATCAAAATAAGTGTAGCTGCTTCTTTGAAGCATGACAAGAGATGAATGAAACACTGATTTAAAATCTGCTTAGAAAAGAAGAACTTTTAATTTGACATTTTTACAGGAGCTTAAGTGTGTTAAAAATTATGAAAGTGTACTGAAAGTATTTTTAAAACCTTTTATTTCAATATTATATTATCTGCAAGTAGAGTTTTGTTAAAAAATACACTTTTTAGATTTGAAATGCACAAGTGGACATTCAGTACAATTAAGTGTGCTTCTTATTCAAAATGGTGTATTTGAAATCATCTCCTGACTTATATTGTTTACACAAGCAACCAGAAGCTAGATTTGACAATGTATCTAGTCTGTGATGTTCGAAATAGGAGGGAATACATGGAGAAGGGCCCTCATTAAACCATTCCCATGCTCCCACAAATACACAACATCTGTAAATCCTTAAATGATCCACCAACCAGAGAGATACATACATTCTCTTTCATGTGGCCCAACCCTGAAAAAAGGGATTGTTCATGAAAACCCCTCCGGCTCCTTTGAGAAGCGAAGAAACGTGTAGGAAGATTTCCTCACAGGCTTCAATCTGTTGTTTGAGAAGGTTGCTCTCTTACCTGCCTGTAAAGTTCAGGTCCAGATTAATTCTTCTGCTTTTACACAGTGATTTAAACTCCAGTTTGAAAGTGTAGATGTCTCTTTGTTGAAGGTTTGACCACCTTTGGAGTTTCCTAGGGAACTTGCAGCTTTGGTTTGTGGTTTGTTTAAAGTCTGGTGGCAAAGGTGAATGAGTAAGACCTATTATGTAGTCAATGGATACAACAACAAGACCTTCTATGAGCTCTATGTAATTACGTGTTTCAGTGTTGACCCAGAGCACCGTTTCAAATGAGAATGCTCAGCATTTCCATGATTTCTTTTCTGATTTCGTTCCAGACAAATGTGTTCACGTGCGCAGTGTGATTGATCCATGCATCTGTAATCCACATTCTGCTCATTTTGTCATTCAAAAGCTGTAGTGAACTGCAAAAACACCATCTAAAAATTGTGAAACACATCACAGATGGATTAACATTCTCGTTCCCGTTCCCCTCCCCAGCCTCCCGCCCATTGTTAAACTGTCAGGGCATGATGATGGCTGCTAGCTAAAGAAAAGCATGTTTTAGATTTATAAGCATGTGTAGTCATTCCAACAGCATGTACCTTTGTTTCCAATAACAATAATGCTTTGTCCATCTATTACAATTATGAATAAGTGGCCTGATAGTCAGAATTTTGATTTGAATGTTATCATAAGTCTCAATTTTGAGACTCAAATCTTGAGTCTTATTTACATGCCAAATGTGCCCTGTCGTTCTCTCAGCACATTGGCCAGTGCAAGCCCCCATGATCCTTTGGTGCCGCTGACTTGTGTCAGTTCTACAAATGTACATTACCTTGCAGTACAGGTGATGTAATGTCCATTGAGAGTACGCTTGCAAAACAAGTTTAAATAGTTGAACTGGAATATGATTTTAATTTTTGGCTTTTCAACTAGCAAGCATAATAAAATCACTCTGTCTGATGGGTTTTACAATGAGGGAAATGTGTTTTAGTCATTTTAAGCTCTTCAGAAATGGCTGGTTTTGTTCTTTCAGCACCCTAAAATAAATATAAGCTGATTATATATTTCTGTCAGGACCACTATCGTCAAAGATAACTTACAATTAGCATACATTTTAGGTTGGGGGTATGGTTCTGTTCTGGGCAAACACTCCCTGCCCATCCATGCAGCCTAGCATGGATAGGAGCAGGGAGAGCATAAATAACCCCTCAAAACAAACCAGCACTTGCAGTAACAACCAATAGCTTAAAGCAACAAGCAGGTCTAGCAACAAACATGATACTGAACACTAGAAGCCTTAACAAGCAAGCAAAATCCCAATACCCTGATGCATCTGCATGAATAGAGTATTCCAGCCAGTCTCTGCTTCTATACCAGGAGCTGTTGAATGATCTTTTTTTGTCTGAGAAAACACGAGCAGGAAAGTTTTTTAAGATTACTTGGTTAGGTTTCTAAACTCCGAGATCCCCTGGTGCTGCCACCTGTGACGACCCTTGCTTGAAGCCTTGGCAACTGGAACGGCTGGCCTCTGCACTGTCGGGAGTTGAAAAAGCGGTAGCGCTATGCTTAGCAAACAACCAAACATTTCCGCGCTCCCTATCGACAAACCAATCAAATACGTTTAAAATATATATTTTTTAAATCAGACCAAACACATTTTTATTTTTATTCAGGAGTTATATATATACAAAACGATAACTTTTGATAACAGTAGCCTATTGATAAAAAAAAAATATTGTGCAAACAAGCAAGGACTGGTGGTTGGTGGGACGTGGAGCTAACAGGTGAAGGGAGACAGCAGGCTCGTCCAGGGCGGGCACTAGTGACTCACAGGGTGGGCCAGGCCCCCCAATGCCTCTGCCCATGGCGCTGGGACTGCCCTGATAGCTTTAAAGCAAAGACCTTCTGAAATAGCATAGACTGGGGCAGCATGCCCTTTACAGAAGAAGAGAAGCAGCGAAGGGGTGCTCTTTTTTTAATAAGCAGCTGAGAAGAGCAGCATGCCCCTTTAATGCAGTACAGCATATGGTCAATACTTGAAATTTAGGCAACAGGCATGTTGCCCTTATCCAGATAAATGTTAGCATTAATAACAACCTTTAGTAGCAAAATCTACATACTGCGCATTAAGTATCAAGCACGTTACCGATACACTAGATAGCTTTAAGCAACAGCATATCACTGACTTAATGGAAATAATAGTAAAAATAAAATTCAAAAACAATTCAGAAAAAAACAAGTCAAAATGAAGTGAGTTTTTGCTTAGAACAAGCAAAATAATCTGCCAATGGGGTAAGCAAAATAATCTTATTTCAAACAGAAAACAAGATTATTTTGCTTACCCCATTGGCAGATTATTTAGCTTGTTTCAAGAAAGAAAAAAAAACACTTAATTTTGACTTGTTTTTTTCTGAAAACAAGACAATAATTTTTACTTGTCTAGAAAATCCTTCTTGATTTAAGAATTTTTAGATATCTGGGCTGGAAACGATACAAAAAATCCAAGTAAGACATTTTTTTTTTGCAGTGTAGCAAACATGTTTCTGAACAACTAGCCTTAAACAATGACCAATATTTAACGATAGCATATTTGCCAACTTAGCATTAGGCAATGAGAATGAAATAAGAAACTTAGCTTAGCTTCGTGAAGACATTCAGAGATGAACAAAGGGTGAAATGGCCAGTTGTTACGTGAATGCTTTAACCCTTCTTGATATCTTGCTTCTTCCAGTGGGGAAAGCAGATCTCGTGTAAAAGTGTTGTTGATGCAGTCACATTAGCACAAATTCAGCGATGAATTGCGGGCAAAGAGTCTATGTCAATTGCGAGAAGCAGTGCTCGCTCAGGTCACTTGCAAGTCTATCGGCTTATATCAATCAACGCGGCGAATTCACTTTCAAGTTCACAAACTTGAATCTGGTGAGATACTCTGTGGGAAACAAACCCCTGTCGCAAAATTCCTGATTGAACGCTTCCTATAGAGGTGGAATTCGCCGTCTGATTAGCTCCTGAGCAAAGCAGTAGCTGCTGAATAATGACAGATATATATATATACAACCTAAATGAAAGAGAAATATTGTACATTTTTCTCTCAAAAGTCTGTCTCTTTGTGCTCTTTGTATAATGAGAACATTCCCAACATTAGCCAACTATAACATTAACATTATAAAGTGAATGTCTCGGCATATTATGGATTTACACTTTATCCTTCGATAGACGGGGGTCCAGTTTTTGCTTTACACCCAAGAGCTCTTTCTTTTCTCCATTCTTCTGTTGATTTTCACATATGGAGCCAAGCTTGCTGCTATATAAACATGCTATCATGTGTATTAGCAGAACCATGTTGCATTAAAATTGCCCACTAGCAGTGAAAACAGATACTAAACGCTCCAACCAAGCTCTTCAGTGATCTTCTTTGTTATTTTAGCAGTAAAGCATGATAACGTGTATTATTTTTAATGTGATTTGCTTGGTGCTGTGTTTGTGTTGGATTATATCAATGAGAACCAAATATTGTACAGTTTATGCTGACTGCGTCAGCTGCTCACTCATTCTTCTTCTACATTTTAGATGGATCAAAGAAGATAGTTGACGATGGATTCTCCAAGGTAAGTCTCAGGGTAAGGAATGCAATGAATACTCGCTTTATCGACTTCAATATAATCTCAAAAAATGTTTTGGTGCTGTAGAAATTCAAGCAGCACATATTACAGCCTGAGGGTTAAGATATAGATGGCTTATGAATGTCCATTTCATTTTACAACACTCAGTTTGAGGTCTAAAACACATTGGCTCCATTGACTGACCTCCTTGAATAGATTTAACATCCAATATATTTAGGCTCAGAAAGGAGCTCAAAAGCCATATAACCGTTTTTCCTATTACAATAAGTTTAATTTCATGCAGTCTAATAAATTTACAGCTGTAATTTAATGAGATAAAATCACAAACTTTCGTTGAAACTTTTGTACTGAAATTATTAGGATAGTTATTCAGAATATTATTGCATATTACGTTTATGAATATTTGGTTCATGCCATTGACTTATCTTTAGACAGAAAAAAAATATATTTTTGAAAATTGATTTAATATTTCCAAAATGTACATCCATAGTCTTTATAATCTTTGTAAATCTTTGTAATTTTCTTAACAAAATGTCATTACTTTTTTTGAAAAAACATTTCCTTTTCAGCGGACGTCACAACTTTTCAATTCCTAATCAATAGAGTCAAGTGTTATTCTGCCCTTTTCCATTGAATATGCTATGAATAGGCCTATATTGAAAATGTTTTTAATGTTGACTTAACTGGAAATTTGAGTCTTTAAAGAGATACTCCATTACAGATTTGTGCAAAACTTTTTGTATATTTTTTAAATGTCAATTGAAAAAATATTGCGAAATGATGGCATTTCCATTAACCAAATGTTATGCAACTAAAAAGTAATGTTTTCCTCTCACGATAAGTAATGCTGACAGATGTTGGTAGGTTTACGTATATCGCAGCCACCGCACTAACCATTATTTTTAATCGATGGAGATGTAGGCCTGTATCTTTAGCGAAGCAGCGCGGAGAGCCGCTTCTGGGATGCTTCTGAAACGTGCTGCGGCGCATCTTTTATAAACAAAAGCTTTGACTCAAGTGGCCACGATCAGCTCCATGTGGCCGTGTCAGAGCTGTAATGCAATGAAAATTATCCAATCATTAACATACATATTTAGCATACAGCTAAAGAGAAATGCTAGGTGATGCTGGAAAAAAAAAGTTAATGGGCCAGATTTACTAAACAGGGCAAATTAGCGTTAGAGCACAATTCCATAAAAGCGCTGATGGGAGGGGAAAATACGGCGTGTTATTTACTAACAATGCACACATTAAAGAACACAGACGCAGCCAGATCATTTCCATACTGACCAGCGCAATCTACCAAGAGCAGCGCAAATTACTACCTGCTTTAAGACATGCTTTTTATGTGCGTTAAATAATGGCGCAAATACCAGTAATTTGACGAGCGCAAACATTGCGTTGCATGATTAGTCAAATCCTGACAGTAGGCCTACTATTTTAACACCAAAAGATGGTTTGCGCTGGTGCAAGCTGTTAGTAAATCTGTCCCTTAAACTATAAATCATTGCTTCCAGCCAACAGGCCAGCGATGTTTTTTAAGTTTATTAGGTTTAAAATATTAGTATTTTTCATTAAAGGACCGTCAGTGTTGAGGGTCCCATCCACTTGCATTATATAGACTCACAGAGATGGATTGTTTTTATAAAAAAACTCTGTTTGTGTTTCACAGAAGAAAGAAAGTACATACATGTATAGAAAAGTATACATGTGAGATGGCACGAGGGTGAGGAAATGATGAGAGAGTTTTCATTTTTGTGTGGAATATGACTTTAATCCTACAGATACACTGTTATCGGGTCTTAGAAAGTTGCCAATGAAAAGGTAAATTCATGTTTCTCTCACATTCAGAAATTCATATTGCATATTTATCATCCTTTGGATCATTTAATACAGGCCCTGCTTTCAAACATACAAGGTTTATTATGACAGAAGCATTTTAACATTGTTTGAAGCTGGATTTTAAGTAGCGTTGAAGATGAAGTAGCCGTCTTTGGCTAAGTGGAACATATTTAATAAACAGCACAGGAACAGCACATATTTCAAGTTGTCACATTGTTGTAAGTTATAGTTGCAACATAGTTGTCGCATATTTGCTACAATTGGCATCCCATAAGTAATACAAAACAGATGTATTAAAAGAATAACTTCACTTTATGGCTCTTCCATGGCTTTGCCCCCTCATTAAGACAAACCATTGAATGACAATGAACTGAAGGCCTATGTATCCACTGTAATGTATCCACTCTCTAAATAACTCTCCGGTGCTGCTGGATTCAGAAATGCTGCTATTTCCTTCATAAAAACCCAACAGGCAATTCCATGGAATGAGCGTCTAGGAATTTGCACCAGATCCTTGTCTTCCCGCTCGACTTTTATAAGTCAAATGGAGTCGTGCCCTGCCAACATCTGCTCTGTGGAAGACACCAGTAAATCCATTTTTATATTGTCTCTTTATCTTTCTACCCAACACATGCAGATACTGCTGTCCACCTCGGCCGCTGGAGGAGATGTGTGAGCGAAATAGAGATACTAGAGTTTCAGAGCTTTATATGTTTGCAAATGAGCCGGACAAGCTGTATCAATTCCATTGTTTTATGTCATTTTGGCCTTTTATATGATTGTTAAAGGAATAGTTCATCATTTGAAGAAACAGATCAAAAGTAAGTCTTGGACCAAAAAAAAAAAATCTAGTTATTTTTGTTGCATTCATGAGTTTATGAGGGAAAGAGTGATGTCTGATTTCATGAAATTATCAGTCTGCATATCAGTTGAATAT